TCTCGACGCGTGCGCTAGATGAACGCTTGTCTCGACGCGTGCGCTAGATGAACGCTTGTCTCGACGCGTGCGCTAGATGGACGCTCGTCTCGACGTGTGCGCTAGATGAACGCTTGTCTCGACGTGTGCGCTAGATGGACGCTCGTCTCAGGACGTATACCTCAAAATGTTATAAATCAAATAAGAGATTGATGGGCAAAATATCCGAAATTACTTTTCCGGATATTAATTACCCTTTATTAATTATTAATTAATTCAAAAATTGAAATAATTAAAATTCGAAATTACTCTTCCGGATATTAATTCGTGGACATTTTTTTATCAAATAAAAAAATATACCTGCCACTCCAGCAAAATTTAGAGGCGGGCCTTACTCTGCATTGGTGCCAGCTAGGACTCCGAAAGCACGTGAATCAGCTTCATACTCTCATGCGACTATAAAGTCGGGAAGGGTATTCTGACGAGAAACTGATTTCAATTGGGTGGCCAAGTAGACCCAGAATAACTTATTTTAAACCGAGTGTATCGACTATTCGGCCGAAGCCTAGGCGTACCCTGAATTTTGTTAGGGCAAACTCTAAGTGACCCGAAGCGCAGCATTCTGGCTAACCATAAATCTGCTACACGGAGACAAAACGGAGAGCAATCTGAGTCAGCAGGCTGCTTAGTATTGACGGCACGCAGGCGGTCTCCGCACTCCATCAAATAAAACATTCACTTATTTTATCACTTATCTTATCTTTAGGGAGCGCTTACCTCGAACCTGTTCAATATGTTCTAGATGCTCAAGTACCGTTTCGAATAAATTGTGAACATTATTCATAGAAGCACAATTCATACAATGAATTTGCAATGAATTGAGAAATTTTCACTGTAATGAGTTTACGTGGACAGGAAAAGACCAACTGGTGACATATGAAACCCTAAGAGCGCAGGGATATGTTCAAGCTGCAATATGAACGATGAACATCAAGACTGTTAAAAGCCATTGAAAATAAAAGTGTTGGGCATGGTAGGTCGAAAAAAAGAAACATAGCGAAACAGTTAAACATATAAATTATAATATATTTCTATTCACTTATCAAAAGCAAGCTCTAAGCAAAGGTTTAACAAACATACGTAACTAGAAGCAGCAAACAACTAATAATATCCTGTGTATCACCATGAGCAATACTGTCCATTAACTCAGCAGGATAAAAGAGAAACAAACGCAACACTGTCATGGCGCACACGCCGAGATATGGATTAAATAAATACGAATTCCAATGAACACAAATATAATTAAATGCTGATTCTAATGAACAAACAATTATTATACAGTATGCCGATCATAAGAGCACCGACCTGCCACGTTGAGGGCGGGCAGAGCTGGCATAGCAGTTTCTGAGACAGTCTCAGTAGACGTTGTGGTGCTGCTGCTGGTCGACGCCTCAGAGGTCGGCGCTCTGAACTTCTTGCTCATGGAACACTGCACTTCATCGTCAGGTGAGTCTGCTTCCACCAGCTCCACGCACCCCACCTCTTCCTCCTCGTCCCCTTCTTCTTCTTCTGTTTCACCGCCTCCATTGCTGCATACCTCATCCTGAATACCACGAAGAATAACATTAATTCCTAGTAGTATTATTATGTGACGTTAATACATTTTTTCCTGTCTTTTTTCGTCTTGCATCTAATGTTACACGAGTAGAAAATCGAGAATACTGATTAAAGAAATTTTAGTGGAAGTCTAATAATTCATTTCAATGAAAAACCAAAGCATAGAATATTTTGGCCAAAAATTAACTACGCACTCTTTTCCTTTTGGCACCGCCACACGAGAGGCTGTTGGCGGCAGCTCCTGACGCCGTGTAATCTCTAGGAGACGAAGGCTCAGACTTGGTGAGACTGAGATCAATTCCCGTGGTCTGGTAGCCCATGGAACCACAGCCACCATTGCGCAGGAAGTGAATGCCAGGAGGCTTCCCACCAAGAACAGGCAGCTCCAGTGAAGTGCTGCACTCTCCGCCGTATATGTTGTAGGAGGCTCCACCTAAATGCTGTTGTGGTTGATGTTGCAGTGCAAGTAGCTGGTTACTCTGAGAGATATTGTCATGTGGGTTACACGTGCTGCCGAGTAAAGCACTTGAGAAGGGAATTTGAGATGCAGTCTGACTATACGGGTAGTGATGGCGCTCTGGTTGAGGGTCCAATTGATCACTTTGCAGCTGAAGACAAAGTTGAGAGTTTTGATGAGGATTAGTAAGATTTTGTTGCAAAGGAAGAGAGTCAAGGCCAGGCTGCTGGTGGTAGCAAAGCTTCTGATGAAGACCAGTGCTTGCTTTTATACCAGTTTTGTTGCTCAAGCTCTGGGCCCTGAAGTCGTCTAGTGGATGCTGGTAGTCCAAGGTACTGCCTAACATTCGAGCTTCAAAACTTTGCTTTGGGTGACACGAGTTGAGAGGTGCGACTGGATTGTAAAGTTGCAGCGAGGACTGATGTTGATGTTGAGGAGCAAACTGCTGATGTTGAGCTTGTTGATGCATCACCATGAGCGGAGGACGGCTGTTGTACAACGGCAGGGTTGGCTGGTTAAAGCAAGCAGTTGACGAGGCTACAAAACTCGAATTACAATGAAGGGCAGAACTGTCAATGAGACTGGCAGATGCAGACGAATTTACTAAACTTGGACATGATAAAAATGGTTGAGAGATCTGACTTGGTACGAGGTCACTACTTCTGCTTTGTATGGAACATGGTGCTTGATGGGTGGTGATACATCGACTCTGTACATCAGTGAGAGATGAAGGAAGTTTAGAAGAAAAGCTTTCATCAGGAGGCGCAGTTGATGGAGTATCTTCAAACAGTAAACTTGATGAGCATGACGAGTTGACTGCACTGGACTCAGTAACAGCTGAGCTTTGTGAAGAAGATATAGGATGGTTGACATCTTTGCGCTGCACGGGAGTTGAGCAATTGCTCTGTGTCTGGCTGATGCTGGCGCTCTCTGCTTGGCTCTTGCTTGGTTTAGTAGCAAGAAACTTGTTAATGGCAGAATTTTTCCTGATTCTGCATAAGCCTTTCAAATCCAAGCAGTCAGCTAATTCAAGCACCTCGCACAGCAAGGATTTTTCAATCTGTAACAGTATATAATTCAAATAATTTTCATTGAAAAACTGATCTGTTAGTCATCAGTCATATTTGCTAAATTAGAAAAGTTTTCTTATACTTTTTCACAGTGTCTTTTCTTTTTTGAATGTTTCATCATAGATTTTAATTAAGTTTTATACAATCAGCATTAAAGAGAATAAGATTTTTTGTACAAATATAGGATACTTTGAAAAATCAAGACATATATTTATAGGGGTTTATTAGAAGCTAGGTACTTATTCAAGCATGAATTGCTGAATTTATCATTTTATTTTTAAATGGTTGCTGAAACTAGTTTCCTCAAAACCAGCAATTCCTTACTTTAAACAAAAATTAGGGAAAAATTTTAGGTCCATAAATCCCAACATTCTATAATCTAAATATATACATAAAACTCACTTGTATGGAACCAAAATAACAGTAGTTGATGATTGCCTTGAGAAGAACCAAAGGCGCTGAGTCCAACACAACAGTCGGATGAGAGTGAGAATGTTGGCCAAGAACTTGTAAGAACCAGCCTGACGCAGCAGCAAGCACCGCCTGATGCGCTCGCACAACAAACCCATCGTTGCTCACCAATGAAATATCGCAGTATTGTTCATAGTCTCTTTGTTGCTTCAATGTCTGTTGTTGGGAGAGAGAAAAAAGTCTATGTGAGCATAACAAACCACTGGGGTTTAAAAACTTAATTAAGATTGGTGACTTGCGAGTGTCAGTCTGCAGATCAGACTCCAGGGTGCAGGAATTGAGCAAATATCTGATCATTTGTAACACTGACATTTCAGCGTGAAAATATAGTATGTCTTCAGAAGACCTTGCTAAAACAATGATCTTTAAATCTCTATTTACAGGTATTTTTGGCTATAAATCTTGAAGGTAATTTCATGCAGTGAATCCTCAATAATATTGGTTATATTTTGGAGCTAAAATCTTATCTTTGCAACACAATTTTCAAACTCTGCAGATTGGCTCAAGCACAGAGATGAAAATTATTATTTCTAGCCATTGTGAGTGATAAGGACAAGTTGTATTTTCTTCTCTCATTTTTTATTAACCAATACTTTGATCAATAAATAATTATACTTGAATAATTGCTGCTTCCCTCTAGAAACAAATAAAACTTGTTAGGAGTCAGAACTACAAATAATAGGATTAGTATCACCCGTCAACCGGGGCTACTCGGGACGGTTTTGAGCGTTTTTTGTTAATAACTTCTTATGATGAAACATTTCATAAACAAGTTTAGGCTCATTTTATAGCTCTTTGCGAGGGCTATCGAATGGCATCTTCAAAAAAATTCCATATGCTATTCGTAAGGTGCCAGAAGCAAAAAAAGAGTGTTTAGGCCACTATATTTAGTTTAGCAATATTCCAATTAGTTTCGCTACTATGACTGTTTTACGACGTGTCAGAGGTGCGTCCCTAGTTGCCCCGCCAGTCCCGAGTTGCCCCGGTTGACCGGTACCGGTACCATAGTCCATAATACATACAAAGCTGTTTTGATTTTGCTAGAAACTTGTAGTTCAATTTGGTTCACATAATGGATCATTTCAATAGAATGCAGACAACTCAAATGGTATTTAACTGAGATGGCAGCATTATCAGCATTAACGGGTACCGTACCGTCAACCGGGGCTACTCGGGACAATTTTGAAGGTTTTTCATTCATAACTTCTTACCACAAAACATTTCATAAACAAGTTTAGCCTCATTTCAAAGCTCTTTGCAAGGGCTATCGCATGGCTTCTCCAAAAAAATTCCATATGCTATTCGAAAGATGCCAGAAGCAAAAAAGAGTGCAAAGAGCTGTCAAAGGTAAGGTACCAGAGAGAAAAAAAAGTACAAAAACGTGTGTACCATTTTCGTGCGGGAAAATGTTTCTGCCATTTAATTTAATGGTAAGTAACCGGCCACTGTAACGCCAGGGGGAACGTTTTTTTACAGTTGATTTTCTAACAGTGTACACAAGGATGTATGCTGGGCATGTACACCAATTACAGAATTTAAGCTGCATCCTCATGCATGGTGGATTTCTAGCAAACGCATGGTAACATAGTTCCTTCTTGGGTTGGATGTACAGTGGGGGGAAATAAATATTCGTACACTTGAAAAATCGTATTTTAATGTATGTAAGTACACAAACTTAACAGGAAAAGTGATTTAAATTATGTATAGAGACACATAGTATTTGAAAATACTATCAAAAGAAATTAAATCTCAATGCAACAAAAAACAATGCAACATGTTCACTTTTCGGGTGGAAAAAGTATTCGTACAAAACAACAAATCCGCATTATTTTAATTTAATACTTGGTTGAATACCCTTTATTCAGCTCAACAGACACCAGTCTATTTCTATACGTCTCGACCAATGATTTGCAGATGCTGACTGGAATTTTATACCATTCTTCTTGGCACACCACCTTAAGATTCTCAATGTTTGTTGGGGACCTTTTCTTAATTTGAATCTTCAAATACCGCCACACAAACAACTAATTCTATCGCGTTGTAAGGAAGGAGAAAGTTATAGGAAGATTGCTAGCCACTTGAATGTTCCTTTTAGTACAGTTGCTTCGTTCATTGGACGCTTCAAGACCCGTGACAGCGTTGAAAACCAAAGACGATCAGGTGCTCCTAGGAAGATTTCTGCACGATCTGCTAGATTATTGGGACGAAAAATCCAAGAAAATCCACAGATTACTCGAGGAGAGTTGCAAAGTCGCCTGAGTGCCTCAGGAATTCAAGTAACCAAACGAACGATAAGCAATGAACTTCACAGAAACGAATTAAAATCACGCACCCCAAGAAAGACCCCTTTGAATACTATGCGTCTCTATACATAATTTAAATCACTTTTCCTGTTGAGTTTGTGTACTTACATACATTAAAATACGATTTTTCAAGTGTACGAATATTTATTTCCCCCCACTGTATGTCAACTGTGGGGGCACAAACCAGAGGTTGTGCCCCAGGTTTTGACAAAGAGGGATAGTATTATAAATTAAAGAGGGTTGTGCATAGTGGCAGAATCTGCACACTAACCATTATTAAGATTATTTAAACATTATGGTCCCTTGTCTAATGAAGCTCATTCTATTCTACAATAACAAAAAAAAAAAGACGCAGAACCTACATTGACCTTTATCACATCAGTCGCATCCCATGCACAAATGTTGTGAAGTGAAACACATGTCACTTGAATTTATAAAGAGACAAAGTTTCAATTCATGAAAAAATAACATGGACAAACAGCCTGTAGGTACATTTTGCATGAGCCCATATTTTAAAATAAGCCCACAAATAGATTGAGCTTATATAAAATCTCAATCCACTAAATTAACAGTGTAGGGCATTTTTCCATCAACTTTATCACAAATCACTCTGCTAAGGAATTTCAACTTTTGTTTACAGCCGTTTGCAGGATTAACTTGTTTACAAGGGATGCTTCTATTGAATCTGTTATTAGATTTCATGAATTCATTAAGGAGCTTTGAGCTTATAACTTACAAATTTAAGTTGCATATTACAAATTAGTAATATTTATATCCAGTGAAATAATATACGAACGAGTCCATGGTGGCATTCTAAATGACCATGTACCTATGTAATTGAGAAGGGCAGTGGCCAAAATTAGGAGCACCCTTGCTCCAATAGGAGCAGGACGGCCACACGCTCCAAAACAAGCATGCCAGCAGCAGCTTCAGCACGCTCGTCTTCTACAACTGGAGCACGACGCATGGTGGTTTCTAGGAATTGGATGGTCATTTAGATCCATCAGGATGGCAGGAGGGTTTGTAACATAAATCATTTCAACTGAAAGGTTCAGAAACAAGCTCAAGTTCATTGAGTTTTGCTCAAGTGGCCCCTCAGGTATTGTAGGTTTACCATTCATCAGCAATTTATCACATAAAGAGCTGATGTTCAGTTCTGCAGCAGAGCCACTAGATTGAAGTGTGCAAGTGTGCTATGCTAGTACGCCATGGTGGAATTCTAGAAAGAAATTGGTCATTTAGATTCACCTGGAGCACTCCAGAACTATTCACAAGAGGAGCTGGGGGAGGGTTAAATTAGAGGGCCATCCATGAGACCTATTTCTTATGGATACCGTAAAATGGGGTTACTTTGACCGGCGGGGTAACTTTGACCACTTTTCATTTTTAACAAAAACCCCCAAAACTCAAAAATGATTTGACATAGAAAAATTTTGTCAATGGCCATCAAAGGCCTAATACTGAGGCTACGTAACACAATAGAAAGATTTAAAAAGTTTGCATATCTAATAGGTTAAAAAATTAATAATGTGACCCACGAAGAAGAGCTATTATTTAAAGCCTGTTGGAGTACCCCCTCCAATTTTTTTAATTTTTGGTAAAATAACTCCAGGTTTTGATGCATTGTAGTAGAACTCTTCTGGTTACATATGCAAAAGACAAATTTTAGGAAAGTGTCATAGTTTGCAAATGGGGGGCACCGCCCCCCAATGGGGGAACTTTGACCAACTAATGGCAGCCGTGATGGGGTAACATTGACCGGCTTGGAAATTAAGTTAAAATTACCATAGGTACCTATATAACATATTTTATGTTTGATACACCTATTAATGTTATTTTTCTTTAGGTTTCAGACTCTACAGAGTCTTACATATGGTAATTTTAACTTAATTTCCAAACCGGTCAATGATACCCCATCACGGCAGCCATTAGGTGGTCACATTTCGCCCATTGGGGGGCAGCACCCCCCATTTGCAAACTATGACACTTTCCTAAAATTTATCTTTTGCATACGGTATGTAACTAGAGTTGTACTAAGTTCAACTTATCTAGTAAAAAAATTGCATCATTTTGAAAAAAGTGGTAAAAGTTACCCCATTTTACGGTACTCCACTTATTTGTTAATGCAATGCCATTCATTTGGGTGTTGAGCACTCTAATGCACTAGTCCAGGCTGTCCCACTTCTCTTGCATTGGGGCAAGCAAACTGCTGCTGCCAGCCAACTTGCATTGAAGCACACGGTCATCCTGCTCATATTGGAGCACGCAGCCGTCCTGCTCCCCCTTCCCGCTCCTCAAGTGAGTAGCACTGGAGCACTCTGGCTGTCTAGCAATCCTGGTGGACCTAAATGATAACCATTTCCTAGAATTCCACCATAACCATTTCCACCTAGAAAAACATTTTAGTCTAACTTACTTATATTGTAATATTAAATATTACAGTATAAGTTAGACTAAAATGTTTTTTTTTCTACAGAGCTTTGTTTTGTGAACAACTGCATTGCCAAATGACAAATGTCTGAATGCAGAAATGTCAAATCTCTCAATATACAACTCATCTTGGAAATTCTTCATAAAGAGACCATGAATGCTACACATATCTGAAAACTATTTATGATACAGATATCTGAAAATTATTTATGATATTAGTGAATACCTTGTTACTAGTTTGATTGAAAAATAAATTTAGGCATATTGATAATGAAATGTACCTATTTTGATTAAAAGTTATAAGATACAATAATTGTTAGTTAGAAATTGAAATTAATACTTTCTTACTACCACAGAAAAATTTATTTCTAAAATCAAGTGGCTGTCATCAATTCAAGCCTGTCATTTTTCTTTATAGTCAGATGGGGTAAGACAGGACCGAAATCACTAACAAGCCTGTAGCATCTATAGGTACCATGATTAACTAAAAACCCTAAACCTATTACAAGGTGTAGTTATGCAATGGGCTTCTAAGCTACAACTCAGACGTTTTGCATCTAACATAGTTTTCTGTACAGATTAAAAAAAGTGAGCTGGTCCCATCTTACCCCATTGGGGTAAGATGGGACCAGGCTGGGGTAAGAAAGGACCAACAGGTAATTCTTATGTTACAAGGTTTATAATAAAAGTACAAACCTGATATTCAATATTATCCATCTAGAAACACATTATTTGATTAAACAATTACTTGTTAAGTTGTTACTGTTTTACGTTGTGGGAAGTCAACTCTAATATCAGTCACATTGAAGTTTTTGTCACGAGAAAACTTTGTACAGGGTTAACTATTTTGTGACACTTCTTTACATTGGTTTTCTTTAAAAATTAGCCAGAAATTCATTATTTGCAAAAGAGGGTTGCCACAAACACTGAAATGACTGGCAATGATTGCTCTAACATATTCTTTTGTCAAATTGAATTCAGTGCTATTAGAATGCATGCCATGGGCTGGTCCTTTCTTACCCCATGAAGGCTGCGATCCTGTCTTACCCCATTTGACTATATATGTGCAAATCAGTGCAATCACAGAGATATCCAATCTAGCAGCCGTCATTCGTCTAGATTTTGTCAACACTGCCAAAGATGAAAAATTTACTGTAAGATTGTAGATGTGGACAGCTTGTGGTAAAAAAAACTAAGATTGACCTGAACAGGTCTTCAAGTTCACTAGTGCACTCAAATTTAAAACTATGACTTTATAGGGTAAACGCGGTATATTCCGTCATATTAAGGACGCATTGAGAAATGAAAAACTATAAAAAAAATAACTGTATGCGTTACTCAAGTTCTGTTTGCTTTATGTGACTCTCAAAACATCGCACTATGCATCAGCAACAACGAAACGTCACAAAATGTTGCCATATTTATTTAAAAGCCTTTAGAATGCAAAGCTACCAAATCCCTATGGTATATTCCATCACTGTGTGTGGCTATATTCGGCATGTCACGCACGTGGTGAGGCGTATTCCGTCGGCGCTTCAAATTCTACTGATACGTAATGCGGGCTCACTAATGCCGTCATCCACATGTTTGAATTCCGTTCGCTGTGTGAGCTGTATTGGAATACAACACAGCTTTGAATTAGAACACTAATGAATATTGAACACTACTTAATTACGCTTTTAATTAACAACTATTAAGCTTTTAATTAAGCAAATTTTCATTTTTGTACACAGCTTGGAATGATCTGTGTGTGTCCAATTCAAGTTGTGACGGAATTAGTTTTCATGTGTCTAAATCCATTTCTCAACTTAATCATCTATTAACTTATTTACCACTTGAAATCAGCAAATACAACTATACAAGTACCAGGCTGTAGAGTAGGGCCTTTTAGCTCGAGATATCGGCGTCTTTTCAAGCTCTCCATCAGCCACATCGACCTTAAATTGGCGTCCATGGCCGATCATAAACTGTGGCTCAGGCAGCCATGACCGATGACGATGTTGCCATTCCATTCAGATGAAAACTGTGTCTAAATCAGAACTGTGTCGGACGGCTCCGCGGCCCGCGCCTAGTGCTACGCCACGTGGAATCGATGACCGTGATTTACGCGAACGCGTGCGCGAACGAAATATAAAAAGCTATATATACGCGAGAAAATTCCCCGTTTATATACATCTTCCTGAGTGTGGGTTTGTCACTATGGGTGACGGAATTACCCACGATGTTGGAATATACCGCATTTACCCTAGGTCAATTAGAAGAAATAATTACTCAGGCCATAATCATTCTCTTCAACAGATTTCACCACAACTCTTGATTCTTGATTAAAAAAAATTGCAGGCTGTATCTTATTATTGATAGTTTATGGTTATCAATGGCACAATCGCCACAATGCATCTTGCAGTTTACATAAGCGGATTAGTCCATATACACAGTTTCAAGACTATATATTTGTGGTTTCTGAAATTCTGTTAGTCAATACTATATACTGGTTGCAGTTTCTATGGGTCAAGATAGTAAGCATTGTAGGTATGGACTTTTCAGGCACCCACCTTAGTTAGAAAGTCCTTATGCTCATTCCATGAAAAATGAAGTTCTTGTGCCCCTTCCATTATCAATTTCATATTAGCCTATGCAATGCATATATTGGTAAATTCGAAGCCTCAACCCATAAACGGTGGTTAAATTACGATAATATAACACTTAACCTTCTTAACGTCTATTTAAGAGTCTAACTCAATTCCTTATTTCTGTCATTTGACAAATTCTCAGATGTCAACAATCGGTAAACAGCCATTTCTGTTTACCAGACACAGAGCAAGGATAGTTAACACTAATTGCTGGACACACAACAAGCACTGGAATTTTGCGGCCACGAGATTGTATTATACGCATCGGTGTGTTATTGAAAGACGGTTTAGTTTTTAAATTTGGCGAGCTCAGAACTTTTTCTCATTTAGTTCAGTGGCAATTTTAGGTGTGAAGGATGTTGTAGACGAAAAGCCAACGCTAATAGCATGGGTTTCAAACGTAAACTGCGAAGTCAGTGCGTAACGCCTACCACAAATAGCCGGCGAGGTCCTCCCAAATGGCTGGCAACCACCTCTTCCTACTTGCTTATTTGGTTACCACAGTGGCTCAAGAAAAAATCTTTCAATTATTTGATTGACTCTTTTACCATACCAGAACACCCATTTGATGCGTTAAATGCAAAATTCCGGATCGGATTACATTCTGTCATATATGGGAAGATGAATGTGTAATTCATGCTGGCAGCAGCTGTGCAGCATTACTAGCACACAGAGGTATTACGTTGAATTTGGCGGCTGTACGAAACCTTCAAGTGGTATGTGAAAGCAGTGGTATGTGAAAGGCTACGAAAGCAAATACCTGGGAACAAAAAACTTTTCGAAGCAATGCTCAGCTTTATCATAACTCGTTGTATAGATGGGTGGCGTTGTAGCGTTCGTTATTAGTCTCATCTTCGAGTAAACTCAACAACTTGCCAATAAGAGTCTGACGTTGAGACTTTTTTTGCAACTCCAAGATTTGCGCGGGTTGGAGATTTCACTCATGCGATGGGCAATGTGAATAAATTCAGCATATCGCGCTGCTTCCTAGTATCGTGAATTGAATTTGGTCAATACACCGAATCTTGCGAAAAATAATGTTAATAAAGTATCGCTTTTTATTAGTTTTATTGTACGTAGATGAACTGATCAAAAGATAATCTCATTTTTACGAGATGAGTTGACAAAGAGTCTGACCTCTTCATACCAAGCATTAATATGAGAAAGAATTCGCGAAGTGACAGCCAGCACAAGTTCGGTCGTATCAATTATCATCAATAGGTTATATAGAAATATTTAATCTTCTAAATAAAAAGTAAATGAGGATCCTCAAGCCATGGAGGCCGCAAACGCACGATATGAAGTAGGCAAAGGTGAAAAAATCCAGAGAGAACAGCAGACAAATATGACCGTAAGTTAATACGTCTGTTTCTATCAATGAAGTAATACAATATAATACAAGTTCTCTAAACGTTCATACGCAGCATCAGTAGATTTTGTCTCAAGGGGAGAAGAGATGATGGACAAACTAGACAACCGAACTGCAGAAATATCACACAAAAGACCGTAAAATAACCATCACCACCAAGTTAGGTCTCGTTCATAATAAATTTCTCTAACCAAATATTAACTATCACACACAAGGAGCGGATAATCTTAAACAGCCTGAGCGGAAGGGATTATCATAACAATTACTTCGTCCAAACTTAATCTAACATCTGCCATTGAACAGTTACGCCGACTAAAAAAACTAATGATTCGGGATGTGAGGCTTGTTTCAACTATATAATGTCTAAGAATATGCATTTTGTTCAGCTATTAAATCGATCTTAAAAGCACCAACACTGATACAACTTGAATGCTGGCAGCCAAAAGATGGCCCTAACAAACAAATATCATTATCTAAGGAAACCATAAAAAAGATTCGAAGACTTCCCTAGGAAAATTCCAATGTAATATGTCTTGGCTGATGCTAGTCGACTTCTTGTTCCTATTGAATTCTGCAGGATTCGTGCATAACCAAGATTATCTGAACACGTTGCACCATACCCTTAATTAATGATCAAGTTTCAGAGCGAGTCAACAAATACCAGGATTAAAATTCCAGTATTTAGGTCAAGTCTAAACATCATCCTAAATGTGATATTTGGACCAAAGCTCTGGAGTTAATCGACTCCACAGCTTGCACCAGCAAGGGTTCAATATCAATTTTTTAGTTCGTAGTTACAATAAAACATTAACTATAATTATCCGATGGTACAACTATCGTACTATAGGTAGAGGATCTCTCGATATGTATACAGTTCCACACTTGCTCTCCTAATGGCCAAGTGTTCAAGATTCATCAGCTAATGCGCTGTGATGGCTAACAACTAAAGGAACAATCCAGCAGAGGTGATTGCTAGCAAAAAATTGTTATCACATGAGGTTGTGCCTAGGATATATATATAATGTTTTACTAATAATACATGAATTAGGTTATGCTAAGAATACATGCACAAGGTAATGATTAGAATACATTCACAGGTTGAAAGGTTTGAGTCGAGAATAATCTTAGATGCTCCCTGAAATGGAATATAATCTTGTGCTTTTTTAATCTTTGAAAACGAAATCCATCTGAAAACTGTTTTCGAAGTTACGACTGTAATTTGTCTCTCTCAGGTTACCATTGAATTTCATCACTAAATTATTAGAGTAATCAGTTATTGGACGGGTATCTCCCTATAAAATGCTGTCAAATAGAAATCGGTTCTTGTTTTGGAAAGGCCGGACAAAAAACTCCAAAGAAACAAAGGAATGCCAAATTTCTACAATTAATGACTATTCAACTTCTCAGATTGAGATATAATGATGGAACATAAGAAAATTTAATAGTACACATTTTACGATTTAAAAGAGACTATATCTCAGGTACAACATCAACCGCCCTAGTAGCCGCCAGATGAGAGCAAGACTAACGCAAGAGTTCAGGCATCGTAAACCATTCGAGTATTTTACAGTCTACTGCTCAAAAAAGTTATTCATCAGGGGCCATACTTTCAAAATTGGCTAAGTGCTAAGTAAACGTAAGTACTTACGCTCTATTTTCTTGTCTATGATTGGTGGATACTTTCAAAGCTCGCTAAGTGAACGTTAGTACTTACGCTCTATTTTCTTGTCTATGATTGGTGGATTTTGCTTGAAAGTCCGTCAACGATTGGCTGATGAACTTACGATCACTCAACTTTTTTTGAAAGTATGGGCCCTGGTTATTGGTGCGGAATAAAGCTTAGGAAAAAATTCCTAGTACGGTATTAGATTCAAATAGAATAATTTTACAACTGACAGTGAGAAATAAACCTAATAATATGAATGAATGAGTTTGCGTCAATACTATAGAACTAAATTGGCCTGACATAGAACACAATAGTAGTAAATAACACTCACGTTCTTCTATTCATATTTTTCTTAATAGCTGGAAACAACAATGAAACCGACACCAGGCACACCATATATATAAGTACACATGTAAATTGACACAAAACACACTATAAATATATTTTAAAAATGAACAAGTCTCACAGGGAGCTAGAACGCCTCTCGAAGATATACCTTCGCATGGAGCTACAACGCCACATTGAACTATAATACAATAAGAAGCTATAACAACAAACAGCTATTTTAAGTTTAATTCTATTCTACGTGTAACTTTAAGCAGGTATTTATATTATAATCTAGTCAAATCACATTGAAATTATTGTGAACTTACGTAAATTAAAGTAATTGAACTTTAAGCAATTTTATGGAGGAGACAATGCGTCGCAATTGCTGCGCGTAGCAAGGATACGAAGACGATGCAGGAATAGCACACTATTGCTCGCCAGCATTTCACAATAACACTGTGAGTTATTGTTAACAATTACAACAATAAGTTCTCATAAAACCTGCACCTTGTGTTAACACAGATTGATGAACCGAGATCGAAATAAGGAGCTTGGCTAACGCATGTTAATTTACATGGTTAATAGTACCAATTAAATTGAATCAAATAGACTCCACAAAAGAGTAGATCACCAATAGAAAATTAGATTGAAATATGAAGTTAAAGTTTTGGATTTTTATTCGATGCAGTCATTAGTTCAAAAAAGTCGTTTGAACATTATTACCTTTTAGAGAGGTTAACCCATTAACTAATCCATTAAGAGCCTATCAAATTAAAATGGAAAGCATAATGCAAGCAATTATGAATTGTTCAAACACAAAAAAGTCATACTCTTCATACTTCAACAAAAGTTCAAACACTCTTCGCCGGAGTTGGCTCTGCAAGCGTGCGAAATGCAGGACCTCTATAACCTCTTGTATTGGCTTTCATAATATTCGATAGATTCCGTTCCTGGCTGGACGAGATGTTTTTGTGCGAAAGATAACCTTTGTTAACTTTGAAAAAAAACCTTTGGCATACACGATTCTTCTATCATCCGGAGGCCATACTTTCAAAACTCGCTAAGTGAACGTAAGTATTTACGCTCTATTTTCTTGTCTATGATTGGTGGATTTGGCTTGAAAGGCCGTCAATGATTGGCGGATGAACTTACGATCTCTCAACTTTTTTTTAAAGTATAGGTTCACAGGTTCAAGAACCGTATGGCATTCCCATACGTCACACGTAGCCTTCAGGCATTAGGCAGCATCCTTCGCTCGACGAGATCCTGCCACTTTAGAAAAATTCCCAGACTGTACCCAGCCGACGCTCCCAGATGAGGACGTTTCATAAGGCATCCCAGGAGTCATAGGGCATCCCAGGAGTCATAGGGCATCCCAGGAGTCATAGGGCACCCCTAAACTCATAGGGCATCCCCCTAAGGTGCTCCCACAGCCTGAGTTACCCGGTGAGGGGTCTGAGGTCGACGCGCACGGCCTCCTTGGGGCCGCCGAGGCTGATGGTGGGGAAGAAACCTCCACGCGGCACCACGGCCTCCACGCGCCCCAACACGCACCCGTTGCGCGTGAAGAAAACCTGCGACACGCATGCGCTGTGTTAGCTCAACGGTCTCAATCACAACAAGATCAACTTCAACCGTCTCAATTCCCCTACACCACACATAACACCCCTACACCACACATAAGAGGAGCTATAGTTAGTTAAGAGCTTCACCTGCACAAGGCGCTGCCGCCCCCCTCGACCGGCGGGGAGGGGGCGGTGCTCCCTGATCAGCACCGAGCTGCGGGTCATCCTCCCGCCACCATCACCGCCGCCGCCGCCACCACCACCACCGCCATCACCGCCACCAGCGCCGCCGGCATCACCGCCGCTCTGATGTCGCCGCCGCCTACGTCGCTCAGCAGGAACCTGAGCATACAATTCCTACAATTTATTTATTAATATTGATATATTTTTATTATTATTGATAAATTTATGTTGATAATTAGAATGGGAATAATAAGGCGATGGCAGCATTGATATTCAATGAAAATATCAATGATTTGCTGAAGTTGAAATACCTACATTATTGGGAATGACGGGATGAATAATGAATGACTTCAAAATTGATGTTAATTCGAATATTTCATTCTCGACTTAGAGTTATCTTTGGTTTAGGTCTTTAGTTACAAAGTCTTCATGCCTTCTTAACTTTGCAATTAAAATACTTCACCTGATGAGACAGTTTATTTAAGGGTCGGACAGTTTCATTCCGACTTGTTCTTGCTTCTGAAGACCAAATAATAACAAGACCAACTAATTACGATAGTACCTACAACAACAAAAGCAACTACAACAACAAAAGCAACTAACAAAGATTATTAACAACAGAATCAAGATGACCAATAACAAGACCTGGGCAGGAGGGGGCGGTGGGGGGGCGTCGGGCTGTTGGTCCCCACTGAGGCGGTCGAGGGACATGAGCTTGTGCAGCAGCGACCGCGGCGACGAGTCCGCTGAGCACTTCCAGCTGAAATAAAACCTTGTACAATCATGCCTTGTAAAAACAATCATTAAACCTTGTACAATCACGCCTTGTAAAAACAATCATTAAACCTTGTACAATCGCGCCTTGTAAAAACAATCATTAAACCTTGTACAATCACGCCTTGTAAAAACAATCATTAAACCTTGTACAATCGCGCCTTGTAAAAACAATCATTAAACCTTGTACAATCACGCCTTGTAAAAACAATCATTAAACCTTGTACAATCGCGCNGTACAATCGCGCCTTGTAAAAACCTTGTAAAAACAATCATTAAACCTTGTACAATCACGCCTTGTAAAAACCTTGTAAAAACAATCATTAAACCTTGTACAATCATGCCTTGTAAAAACCTTGTAAAAACAATCATTAAACCTTGTACAATCATGCCTTGCAACTAACCATCACTGAGAACTATTGAGATTAAAGTAAATATCATACAGAAGTGTGCTTCTTTCGTAAGTAACTGTGCGAACCAATTACGTGAGGACGAGAGGTTTACGTTGTAAACGAGCGACATTAATGTTCCTAACATTACATTGGATATGGCTACATTAAAATCGCAATACACATGAGGGTAAGAACCCTATACTGTATTGGTTTCGCCTCCTACATCGCTCTAACTTATGGAGTTAGATGCTTGGAGGAAATTCTTGCTAAAAAGCAACTTTATGCTACAAATGCTAGATGGTAATCATTAGTAAATTACAATGCTCTGAGATGCAAGTAATATTATAATTATCAATACAACTTTTAGAAATTCTAAAGGTTCTAAAAAGCACTTTGTGCTCCAAATGCTAAATGGTAATCATTGATAAATTACAATTCTCCGAGATGCGTGTAAATATTATCATTATCAATACAACGTTTATACATTCTAAAGGTTCTAATAAGCATTTTATGCTCCAAATGCTAGATGGTAATCATTAGTAAATTGCAACGCTCTGAGATGCAGGTAATATTATAATCATCAATACAACATTTAGAAATTCTAGAGGTTAACAGAGAGAGAAGAGTCGTTAGTGACACCTGGAAGTGTTCAAGATATCATCGGGCAGAAGCAGGTCTCCAGGAGACGACGCCAGTTGTTCGTAGTCTTCCGCTTCGATGACGTCATCGTCGTCACGCTCTTCGTCATCGTCCACGTCATCTTCATCGTCGCTGCAGGCAAGCGAGGACGACTCAACGTCATCATCGTCGTCCCCAGACTCGTCCGCGCTGCTTTCGTCGCAGCTCCTGCGCCAGCGTCAACAGTCATGAGGCACTCTAATCACCTTACACATAACAACTTTGAACACAATACCTAATACAGCAGTTACATTTTAATGCAATAGCTGTGGCGAAATTTAATAGGGCAGTTACACTTTATTACAATATTTGTGGTGAAATTAAATAGAGCCGTTACTTTTTAATACAATAGTTGTGACGAAATTTAATAACATAACATAGTGATCTCGGTGCTGAATTGTAGGCCTGATGTGGCCTGTAGCCGATTCTTTACATAGAATCGGCTATTCTTTACAATAGAGCAGTTACATTTTAATACAATAGTTGTGGCGAAATTTAATAGAGCCGTCACCCTTTAATACGATAGTTTTGACGAAATTTAGGACCTGCGACGTAATAGGAGTAGAAATGTGACTGAAGAATCCCAAGTCCTTAGAAAAATAAGTCGCGCAGTTCAATACCTGTCACAGTAGCTGAAAAGGGCTTAGGATGCATCCTTTGTAATAACAGGTTGAATTATTCCGCCTAAACAAGGCACGGGCACAAAGAAGTGCTAGGCTCCGGTGGCTCTGCGATGCGTACCGCTGCGGCACACCTGGGACCATCCTTTCAAAACTCGCTAAGTGAACGTAAGTACTTACGTTCTGTTTTCTTGTCTATGATTGGTGGACTTTGCTTGAAAGGCCGTCAATGATTGGCGGATGAACTTACGATATCTTAACTTTTTTGAAAGTATAGGCCCTGGAACCACCGAACAGGAGAAAAGGGTTCAGCTCACCCTCTGTTGGCGTCGCCCTCTTCTCCTGTTCTCCGTTGGCGTCGGTCACCCCAAGCTCACCCTCTGTTGGCGTCGGTGTGGCAGTAGTCTCGGGGGAAGAGAATGCCGCATCCCATGACATCCCCAGCTCGACATGGCGGTCCCAAGGGCTCCCCCTTGCCACAACGGCCGCCAGTGAACACACGACCATCGTCTGCGTGGTAGGCCACGCTGCCTGATCTCCAGCCGGGGTAACAGCGACGTGGGTAATGCTGCAAATAAATAAAGAACTCAGCTCCTCTGAGGTGGATTACGACAGCGTCTCAATATCAGATGCACGAGCATTAAATTTTATCACACAAAGAATTCAAATTTGGATTTATTTAACAGCAAAAAAAATATCATGGTCAATTGAGTGGGAGAGAGCCACGAAAGTATCAGATTGACGTACACTATATTTGAGCACACATAGAATTCAAGTTTGGATTTATTTAACAGCCAGAAAACTGATATCATAGCCAAATGTATGGGAGTGAGCCACGGTGGATACGAACCTTCTTGGTGATGCCAATGGTGATGTACGCGTGCTGCCCGGAGTCCAGGATATGGAGCTGGAAGTAGTGCGAGGCGGGACAGAGCGCGTGTTTGGCCACCGCCAGCCCGACGTCTTCTATTTGCTCACCGCGACCACAGTACGACAGGCACTGCAATAACCAAGCGTGTCAAGACTCCTTATTGCTTTGCGTGTCAAGACTCCTTATTGCTTTGCGTGTCAATGCGATGCGCTTGTTGCGAGTTGTTTTATGGTCTCCTAAGAGCTGGCCCTCAAAAATACACTACTAGACTCCTTAATGTTGCTTTGGTGCCAATGCGATGCGTTTGTTGCGAGTTGTTTTATGGTCTCCTAAGAGCTGGCCCTCAAAAATACACTACTAGACTCCTATATGTTGCTTTGCGTGCCAATGCGGCCTGTTTGTCACGAGTTGAGTTTTATGGTCTGGTCTCCTAAGAGCTGACCCTCAAAAATACACTACTATGAAAAATACCTAATTAATAGTAATGTTGTTTGTATAAGGTAATGGAACCTGTTGTGAGGGATTGATTGATCGATCATTTGATTGTTAATAATCCCTTATCAGACCCAATATGGCTTTATTGGCAGCAGTTCCGGCACCACTAACCTCTTGTCTACTTTGAATGATTGGACTCATTTGGTGCACGTAGGAGTGCAGTGGATGCAGCGTACCCAGATTTTGCTAAGGCATTTGACATGAGCGGCTGTTGAGCAAAGTGAAGTCTTTGGAAACAGAGGGAAATGTACTCAAATGTATCAGGGATTTTCTAGTAGGGAGACGACAACGTGTCAGTATTAATGAGACCGTATCAGACTGGGCTTCATTGCGCAGCGGCGAGCCACAAAGGAAGCGCTCTCGGGCCTGTTTTATTCGTTGCGTTTGTAAACGATCTGACAGAAGCTGTGTCTTATGTGTGCTCCATGTGTGCCGACGACAAAAAAGTTTATAATATAGTGAGGAATACGTCGAAATAGGTACAGTTGCAAGATAATCTTGACAGGTTAGTTGACCGGGCTCATACGAGGCAGCTGCGTTCTAATGCTGAAAAGTGTAAAGTACTTCTCCTTGGTTAGAACATTGAACATCAAGATTATAGTTTGAGTAGACATGGTTGCTACGAGAGAGTGATGATTGCGAAGTCGGCAATGTGAAAATATTTAGGAATTTACATCGACAAAGAGTTGAAATTTTCTAGGCATATTGAAGCTCAAGTTAATAAAGCCAATAAAATGCTTGGACTGATCAGACGCTCTTACGAGTACCGAAATGCAGAAGCGATGAAACTGTTGTTTGTTTGCCGCTGTCGTGCGCCCGAACCTAGAGTTTGGGAACGCCGTGTGGTCGACAAAACTTGAAAAAGACAAACATTTCGTCGAGAGTGTTCAAAGACGTGAAACAATGATAATTCCGGGATTATAAGTCAAATATTATGAAGAAAGATTAAAGATTATGAAGCTTTCAATTCTAGGTTATCGACGATTACGTGGGAAGAAAGATTAAAGATTATGAAGCTTTCAATTCTAGGTTATCAACGATTACGTTGCAACAAGCGTATACAAGATCCTAGAATTCTTAGAATTTAAAACAATGACAAACACCAGGGGCCACGGCTATAAACTAAAAAAACTGCGTTGTAACACATCCATGCGACAACATTTCTTCTCGCTTCGAGTCACCGACATGTGGAACAGCACCCCTGAAGATATTGTTGACGCTCCGAATGTGAACGCGTTAAAAACAGACATGACAAAGCAATGCGAGAGCAAATGTTCAGTCTTGAAATGTCTAGCACCTTACGGACCTACCTAACAAGTCCAGTAGCTAGCTCAAACCAATGTTTGTTACGAAAAGATCTGGTCAGACGGCCGGTTTTTTATCTTCTGTTATTCAAGTCACAAAAAGCACAAGAATCGGCAACAGGCCATGAGCCTATTTCTTCAGCGCCGACACTTCTATTCTAATAGAAATTATAGAAAAAACTACAGGTATTAAGACGTTGAGTGCAGCACGACCCACCGGTGGGTTGCAGGGTCTTTTTTCCGGACAAATTCATCGATTTAGTTTTTTTATCAATTGCATTGACCGACAAAAATTTAGTACTTCCTTATTAAATTTCAAACAGTACGGAAAAGAGGAAAATCGAATTTTTGAATCGGAACCTACAAATTTACTAGTAAATATTGACTTCTATAGGCCTTTTTTGTCCGCGGACTTATCCGTTTTAGGCCATCTGACAACCCATCAGATTCTAAATGCGGTTTGTCTAGTGCACTGCACGATCGGGCCTTTTTTGTCCGCGGACTTGGCCTTTTTAGGCCATCTGGCAACCCATCAGATTCGAAATGCGGTTTGTAGTGCACTGCATGATCGCGACTGTCGGTGGCACGAACAAAATATGTAGGCTACCTCCTCTCGATCGAATGCTCTTCTCGCTCCCATGTTCTCTCGCTCTTCTCGCTCCCATATTTGTCTCTTCTTCATGTTTCTCTTCTCGCTCCCGAATTCTCTTCTCGCTCCCTCTTGCCGTCGGGTGATTCAAAAGAATCTCTGACACAGTCAGTACCGTAGACTAGACGACCTTGCAATAATGGAGGTAAAATGCATGTTTAATAGCCATGCAATCATGAGGCACTGACTTGGGATCTTTGACTAGATCGACTGAATCAGGAATTATGTTCGATTAAATGGAGGGGAAAACTAGCCGAAAAATCCAAAGTAACGAGACGATCATGAACGTTTTTTTTGCCGAAAGACGTACATTCAAATAACGAAAATATAAAACGTAGTTGTAATAGGATCTAAAATTGTCCAATCCATGGTAACGTCAAAAAATACCACCAGTATTTGTTAATTCGCTATAATTATCACTCAAGTCATTCATTAGAATCACCACTCAATGTATTAAATACAATAATGCGTCTTCGAGTGTATAGGCTGTCTATAGAGCACAAATAACGTATCATGTAATGGTCTACGCTAAATAATTTGCAACGTGGCTAGCTCAGAATTAGCTAACGCATTTACCAGGATAAACTCGAATTACAGGAAAAGTAAGAAATATTTATTGATTAATCAAGCAGAAGCTGTAAACTAAAATCTATGAAACATTCTACAGAGCTACGTTTAAGCGGCAGACTATATGAACGATCGACTAGGCATTTTATATTGTACACAAAACGGTATTTGCAATAGCATTAGAAAATAACGCACGAAACGATGGAGTCATAGAAGCAAAATAGAATGTTGATGTGAATAGATTTACCCTGAGGCGCCGGGATGAGGAAAATCAGGCAGTTTAATTCGAACCTCCGGACAGTCTGAAACTCTCATCCTCGAAGATGCGTCGCAGAAGCGCTTTTGCAATTTGTGTAATTTCTGTTTTGACGCTTTTCAGAGGAGTGTTTCATAACGAACCGACGATTTTGACCAATAAAGAACCCAGAATGCACATAAAAAATGTGGCAGGACCTTATTATAAGCTAAGACCGTCATTAAATAAGTGTAAAGAAATGTTCACAATCACGGAGGCTTCAACAAAAAGTAAAAATATGAGCGAACTCATACACGAGATACGCAAGCAAAAAATCGATGCAGAGCGAATGACGTGGACGATCAATCCTTATAGAAACCTTCGAACATTTCTCCCGTCCATGATAGAAAAACTCTATCCAACTTTTAACACAAGTGACACAATCAAAAAATATTCAGGGGATACGAAAAAACTTACGCAGCGAATCCAACTCACTCGGTCATGGCTGAAACAACTCAGTGCGGGGGAGAAATTAGAGTTGCCAAAAGATGCTATTAAGTCCATCCAGCTCGCCATGCTTCACCAACAACGAGAATATTCCTACAAGTTGAAGTCGAGCGGCAATCGTGTGGAACAGTTACACGGCCAGCTGCCGTATGTGCCGTGTCGCATCAAGACGCAGTTCAGCGAAGGGGAGCTGAAGCAGTGCTTCCGAAGGGCGGCGGAGGGACGCGAGACTCCCTACACCATCGTCTTCATGGGCGACTCCAAGAGCAGGAGACTTTACGACAGCTTCGTCACACAGACCATGGCTCTGAACTATACATTGACTTCCCGAGTGAGATCAATATGAATATGTGATATCCCTGCTTGTTATATATTTGAATAGAAAGATGACATGAATTTGATCGTAAACATCCTTGAAGATCACTAACTTGAGAAGTCTTTAACTGTTACCTTAAATCCCCAGTGAGTTTGAGGGATTTTCTGTGAATCGGAGACTCAAATCGAAGTTTCATATTACCAGTTACCTCACACTCGTTTATCCTTACTCCACGTTTGCTTAGCTCCACATCCATTGGCACTCTCAATATAATTATATTTGTTATATTAGATCACTTTGCAATTGTAAAGATGTTTCTGTTCACAATTCAGTGCTAGCAAGCAGGATTGCACCCCGCTTACTCCACGCTTCCCGCAGGGGGTGGCCAGAAGCCTTATAGAAGGACTGCTCCACTACGATCCTGAAGCTCCTCTCGCCTACGCCGTGCCACAAGACCTCCAGCAGCTCAAGCTGGTCCACGTGTGAGTTATTCCAGCGCCTATGGGTACGCACACAGTGAAAGCAGGTTGCCAGCGTGCTGGTTACCTGCTCAGGCTGGCGCCAGATACCATATAGAATACAGAAGCCTATTCGTACAGGTTTTCACTGTGAACACTTACATTATTAATTATCCTATGTTCATTCTTGTGGCAGGTTGGAGCAGGTTGCCCGCACGGGTAAACCTGCTTTCACTGTGTGCGTACCCATACATTATAAATCTTTCCAGAGCAGCTTGTATTTACTCTCAATTTGAGCTTTGTTACCTCATCGGCGAACGGTTTATTCCGACTGTGCGGCTCCCTTAATCTGCTATATAGGCGACAGGTTTACATTATTCTTATTACACTAGAATGACCTACACTAACGACACCTCCGATTGGAACTTGTGACTCGGTATCTAGGAACTCTCGACAAAAATAGCTCCTTTTATGATTGTTCTACCGACACCAGGCTTAAGCAATCTGTTCTTAGGTTTAACACGTTACGCATTATTCTGGTTTTATATATAAATGATACGGTTTATATACGCCTTATACGGTATAATCGATACGGTTCATAACTTCCTTCGTTAGTTGATGTCCGAAAGCTTGCTGTGCGAAATGTTTGCTTTAATCAGAACAAAAAAACATAGAATTATGCAGAAATGAATAGCTTGATAAGCGCTTTGATCGATGATAGCAGGTTAACGATTCAAATTGTATCAACATTCATTAATTTATCCTTAGAAACCAATATTTACACGAGGAGCGAGAACCGCTGATGACAAAAATCATCGAATTATGCATCATAATGCGCAGGTACAATCGTTTCTACGACACAAGATTGTGGGAGTTCGCCAGTAACCGCGCGTTGAAGAAACTCGTGTCTTGGTGCACAGGGAAGGAACAACCACCCGACATCATCGTCTTAGGCAAGTAGACAAAATATAACCACACATTTCCTGATCATAAGTGCCCATGTTATTATTTCAAACCCGGACTTTTTTGTTTCAATCATGAAAATCATTTTTCGTCCATTGATTATTTACTAATTTCTACATAAAAAATTGAGATTATCCTAATTTCCGTTAATAAGTTTTTTGACATTATAACAGAAAAGAAGTTTTTTGGCATTATTTTTAACTGGCAGGTTAGCCGTTAGCTATCAAGCCCGGCGTATCTATGAGGGCTTGATAGCTCCTGCGATTTCGGAATCCCATTACGCATCCAAATCTCGTCTTTCCCGTAGTCCCAAATCCCGTAAAATAATAATGATGTGAACGCATTCAAATCATTATCACTACATTGTTATGTATTCCAATTAAATAAATAGTAATAGTACTGTCAGCGTCGAAAGAACGCCCTCTCGTCAAAATAGGCCTGTCGCTGTTTCTTACAGCTGGCAGGGGTTTCGAACCCGCAATTTACGGCTCCAATTTTCATCTTCTCAACCGCCTGGCTACCTCGCCGATTTTAATCAGAACAGAACGATAATAGGAAATTGGGATCGAACCAGCAAATCTCAGCTGCAATTCGGGTACTCTGAACTATAACCACAACGCCACTCTACCCAGTCACGACCTCGTCAAACCAGCATTCTACATAGAAGATATAATATAAAAAAATAGGATAGGATAAAAAAACTATACATAAGTCAGTAGCAAATAAATGGCCTTCTCTTTCCTTGCTGAGCAGATTACGGAGACTGGGTTTTTGTGGACGTGGACGGTACGAAAAAAGTGACGCTGATCGAGTCCTTGGATTCGGTGTGGACAATTCACGAGGTGTTGCTACGTCTCGTACTCCGTCTAGGCAACACTACTCAAGTGTTGTTCCACGTCCAGCACCGGCATTTATTGCATTCAAATCCAAGCAAGAAGTATGCTTACTTCACACAATCTATTAGTAGTACAAATTCTGATTTGCTTTACAGACAGTTATTATATCTCTGGACTAAAATTTCAAGCAGACAGAGGAACAATAGGTTCCCAAACTCAAAAAAAGAATATCGGGCAAAAGATAAGGTGTCAAAATTCATTCGAAATATAATGGATGTGCTCCACGATGAATATATCGCTAAAATGGATGGAATAAGTAAACTTAACCTTGATATTAGGCAGACAGAAATGCGCCAGAAGAAAATACAGAAGCTCAGATCATTTTCTTCATCAATTACCAACTCGTCCACCGACGAAACTTATGCACCAACAAATACGTACAAAAATGAGCCCTGGTTTTGGGACACAACCCTGCCACTGGTTAAAGCGACGGAGGACGAATGTGAAGAGCTGTACCAACACGACCCAGTGACGGCGAGTCTCCTGTCTCAACTGCTGACGCTGAGCCCCTTCAGAGGCGTCAGGCACATGGTCGGGGTCCTCACCAGTCTCGGGGTCAACCCAGAAAGAATCGTCGATCATTTAAGACGAGTTTCACTGGATGACGACGCAGATGAACCTAAGTTTAATGCCTCTTTGATGAATAATAAGTTTTCAGCTCTGTTTAAATTTTACTCAGACGACGCATTTTCTATTTCTTCGGAAGTAAACAAATATTTCGAAGAGTTTGCGACTACTTATTCCATGCCGGACTTGGGCTGCATGGACCATAACCACCCGGGACAAGCTACCGAAATAGTTAAAGTCACTCAACTACTGAACCTGGCATGCAACAAACACCTACATTCACCAGCCGATTATTGCTGTAGTGGATACTGAAGTCAGTCACTAATCTTAGAGCATGATAACAGCATGACCCTGTTGAGAGCTGTAAGCCTTCGCGAGCATGCAACCTTACATACAGGCACGTAACTGTTTTCAATTAAAGAAATGTTATGTTGCATGAAAATATGTCGGTTCTTCAGCTAGTATCTTCGCTAGAATAGCACGCGTTTACATATTTCTCGATCTCGAAAGAATATCGATTTAGATGAAATTGTAACAAAAAAGAGTAAATTTATAAAAACTAATTTACTCCTTATCCTTACAACCAATTAAAAATTTGTTTCCGGCTGTACAGTAAGTAGATGTGTAACAAAATGGTCTATTTAATTGCTATTACGGAATATCGAGATAGCTGCTTATATACGCTATTATGAAGTAGACGGACAATAAAATATTGAAACAAAGAGCGGGGTTCAGGAGCAGCACAAAGGCACTAAAAGTACAACATTCATGCATACAAGCATGGAAATCTAAGACTTTACGGGTGGGTTTGCTTGTGGCCGCGTGGCGTGGCAGACGTTGGTGTCGTGCGCGGTCCCGGTTACATTTCATTTTGCTGGTTTAACTCTGTTATTGCATTCTGTACTGAAGTGTTCCAGTCAATAGTCTGGAATTAAGTAGAGTCAGAAAAAAGTGAGTGCGAGTATCAATTGATTAAGTAAACATGGCAACGAAAGTCGGTGTTAGTAAACCCACCGGAGCATGTCTGGAATGCATCAAATGTAATTTTGGACAATTGGCACTAAGATGGAACACATGCAGACAATTTTGTCACTTCGAATGTTCACTACTTCCAGAATACCAACTTGCAAGATATTTAAAAACCAGGACGTCATTCTTGTGTAATCTTGTGTTATACCAAGATTACCAAGAAAATGCGTGATGAACGAGGGGTGGGTGAAAGAAGCCATGGAGAGTGTGCAAGCTCTTCTAGCATTCGAGAGAAGTAGGCCTATCATGAATGGGTCTCTGTTCGACTAAGACGCGGTTACCCTCAGCTCCCCTCACTCCCTCCAGCGCATCCCTCACTGGTGCCCGATATAGTACTCCGCCCACCCCAACCCTTGCCCGCAGCGTTACCCCTCCCCTCTCCTCTTTAAATGCCTCGAACAAAAGGCATTTAAGGGGACCGGCTACCCTAAAATTTTCAATTTTGGCGTTTTTCGGTTTTTGTACTCATCTGAAAGCTGGAATTCTGCTCTTTCCAATGGTACCACTGCCATCGCTGTACGCCAATATTTACGTTCATGACGTCTCTTTAAAGGAAAGCGGGTGAGAGAGTTCTTTAAGTAATTAGATATAAATTTTTAGCCGTTTTCTATGAATTTCACGTTTTCTATCAATTTTTTCGAAAAATACATAGGAGCAAAATGTTTTTCTTTTTACCTTTTACGTATGTATGTGAAGTTTCATGATAATCGGATAATAACTGTAGAAGTTTTTCCGGAGGGTAGCCGGTCCCCTTAACTGTTAAAAAACGCGTTTGCTGGAGATATCTTCAGGGCAAGTGCGATTGGGAGAATGAAGAAATGAACTGTAATTATTCTCACCTTAAGATCCGTCACAAATTTGCAACATTTAGAAGCAAGAACCAACGCGGATTCAAAAACGGGAGAGAGTGTCAATCCTACCATCCGTTCTTGTGTTGGAATACTATTAAAAATGTAGCTTGCAAACGAGATTACTGTCGGTTTCACCACCTTAAACTCAACCTGCAGTTGAGAGGTAATGCCGAAGAGGGACGGGACTCTGATAGTTCCTTCTTGGAACACAGGATAGATTCTACTGCCAAACTCAAAACATCAGAAAAAATTACATGGTTAAAAAAATCAGTTCTGGGAAGGGCGAATCTATCGTAATCAAAGGAACAGGGCAGTACCAAAAATTACCGCACAGGCCAACACAACCAACCGGTGTGAAGAACAAAGAGGACTCAATATCAAGCGCAGCAATTTTTTAGGCCTACAGAGGCAAGTAGATCAGATTTAACAACAAATGCAGCAGCTGTTGACATTGCACGAACAACAGCAGAAATCAGAGCAACAAGTGCAACAGCTGCTGAGCCAGAGACCCCTGGCAGTGCAGTGTTACAGCAACTAAGAACGCAAGGAAAGGACGAGTCAGCATCATGATAGCCAACATAGAGGAGTTCTTCCCAAGAAAAAACGCCACAAGATCGGCATACTTAGAGAAATTGCTGATACAGAAGGAATAATCATGCTTGCCTTAACCGAGTCACACCTAAGAGAGGATATCCAAGATGGAGAAATCGAGATGAAAGCTTTCAACATTACCGAGCAAACCGAAAAGAAGGGAGAAGAAAAGGAGGCGTTACAGTCTTCCTCAGAAACTCCCTAGCGGCAAAAACAGTTCCCTGCATTTAGGCTCCAATAGGTATGTGGAACAAACTGGAACGTGTTATACTATACATCTCCCATCTCCAACTGTGCATAGCTATCCATTACCGACCGCCTGACTGCCCGCCGGAAAAATTCAATGAAACTCTCGATAGAATAAGAAACATAGGTGGCCAACTTAGGTGAACCTTCCCCAAATATTGTGGTTGCGGGAGATTTTAACCTACCACACATACGATGGCCACACTTGGACTGTTTGGAACGGCGCAGAGATCAGGCCAGAAATCAGGTAACACAACTACTTCGATTCGCTAGGGAACACTAAGTCAACAGGTTCTGGTGCCAACAAGAGAGCATAATATCCTGGATCTATTCTTCACCAGCAATGAAGAACTGGTTGCTGATATTCGTGTTTAGGAGACCGCACTGTCAGACCATCGACTAGTGGTGGTCGATACAACAATTGAGAGGGGAACCCAGCCAAGACCTACACCTCGAGAGGGGCTAGCTGGGCTAAATTTTCATCTTCGAAGAACAGACTGGGAGGCCATTGGGAACGAACTCCTCGAAATTGACTGGAGATCTGAGTTCCTGAAGTAAACGCCGAAACAATGTACAACAAGCTGGGCGGAGTATTACTGCAGGTATATGCGTGCGTCACACGCCGGGAAAAACTACCCCCAAACGGCACATAATTCCGAGCGACAGACGGATCCTAATGAGAAAACGAGCGATCTTGAACAACCAGATAACGGCCTTTCTTCAAAAGTTCGTGCAATGGTGCAAGAATGCTTTGAACTTTGAGCATCTGGAACAAACTTTGTGAGAAAATTTAGCATTCCCAAGCACCTCCTGAGCTCAATCACGTTCTGAGGGGCACTCAGGTCATCCAAAGCTTTGACTTTCTCAGGGCATACCTCAATGCCCTGCGCACTGACATGTCCCAAAAAATTAACTTTAGGCACATTAAAAATTCATTTATCCCTATTTAACTTCAACCCACAGTTCTTAATTCTACGCAATACTTTCCTCAGAGCTCTATCATGCTCCTCCTTACCTCTCCCAAACACAAGTACAACATCCGTATACACCACAACGCCCTCTACTCCCCCCAATAACATGCTCATTTTCCGCTGGTAAACTTTGGGGGCAAGGTTGATTCCCATTGGCAAACGCTTAAATTGATAGCGACCGAAAGGGGTTATGAACGTCGTAAGAGCACGTGATTCTTCACAAATCGGAATTTCGAAGAACCCAGACGCAGCATCAAACTTTGAAAATCAATTAGCTCCAGACAATTTATATGAAAGTTCATCGAATGTTGAAATTTGAGAGACTTCTCTCACAACTGTTCAACTGTCTAAAATCCACACAAATCCGTACTTTCTTCTTCCCACACCTCTAACTAGTAATAACTGGAATGACGGCGCTTACCCAGTCGGTTGAACTCGAGATATTCAATCACACCTTCCCTTTCCATTCTATCAAGCTCGGCCCGAAGCAGTGGTCTCAAAGGCATAGCAACATGACGAGCCGAGTGCAACCTCACTGGATCGACCCTGGGCTTCAAGTGAAACTTTACAGGCTTCATGCGCCAAACCCCGAACCCAAACCACGAATCGTCAACGGTGACCTACGAATCGTCAACGGTGACCTACGAATCGTCAACGGTGACCAACGAATCGTCAAAGGTGATCACCAATAAATTGTACAACGCCTAACTTGCAAGAGGCTTTCGTACTTAAAAGATTCGACGAACAATGTTTAGAACTCAATACATAAAAACTCTCTGTGCAATTGGCACCTTTATAAAACTTTCGACAAGTCACTTTACCTAAAACAAGCAATTCCCCATTAGGAGTATATAATTAATTTCTTATCAGAGGGCCTTAGACAGTGTGGATTGGTCATATTGATAAAAGACTGGTAATTCAGGATGCTCACATCGGCACTTGTGTCTACTTTAAATGGGAAGGTATCATTCATGTTCAAAATTGAGATCTATTACCATTTAGAATTTCCCTCAACCCCACATTCACCTATAAAGTAGGTTGGTTCCGTCTCGTCTCCGGAGTCCGTACGTGAATCGTTAATTTAGTTGATTCCTCGACGTGCAGACGCCTAGAAGGACCTGGCCCGAGATCTGGCCTCGACACGCTCTGCTGAAATGATTGTCTCTCCCACAGTTGTGGCATCTTCTTCCTGCTACTAGACATCTGTTAGGACCATGCTCACGACGACAGTTGGGGCAAGGAATTCCCCTTGGACCGCTAACCCTCGGTTCCCTCATGGGCGCTGATCCAATGTTCTGGGGAAGATGCCGCACATTGACCGCATCGACACTCCTCCGTTCCTCTCCGAACTGCTCCGCCCGACGCCCCTCTCTCAAGTCGCAGTATGATCTGGCGAACTCTACAACCAAATCCAACGTAAAATTTTGCATATTACTCAAGAAGAGATGCTCCAATTTCTCTGCCAATTCTTCATCTCGCAGCCCCGCCATAAACTGGTCGCGTGGGTATTCTCTCTTTAGCGCTGCTGCGAAAATCGCAATCCTGAGACAAAACGTAGAGTGCACGGAGGTAAGATTCCTCATTCTGCTGTTGTACTCTACGCTGATATATTCGTCTTAGTCGAATAATGTTTACCTTGGGTTTGAAATAATCGTCATACTTCTTCACCACTAACTCGAATTTTCTGCTGTCTGCTTCACCAAGTTCGAAAGTGCGAAAAATATCCTCCGCACCCATACAGTACACGAGACTTGCAACTTGTACGCCCTCATCTTCGGCGTGAAGTTTTGTAGCAGTTTGAAAAGTTAAGAAATTACTTTTCCATGCGTCCCATCTAGGTTCACTAAAATTGAGAGACGCCGGTGATCTATACTGAGCCATTTCTAAAGTCTATCATGAAGTCACTTATCACGGACCTCACCCGGAGCACCATGTATGGCTCAGCGAGGTTACAAACACAGACACAAACAGGGATGTGTATTTCCAGGAGCAGGTCGACACGTATTATGAGAGAGCGAGACGAGATGTGTCCCTTGACCACAACTATGCGGCGCGGTCACAGCCCTGTAGTCCCATGTCTTCGTCACTCCGGTACACAGGATTGAGACACATCACAACGAGAGAAGGAGACTGTGCAAGATGCCCCCACTACGTAACAGATCAGAAGACAGATTTCAATCCCTGCGGGAAGAATCACTTTCCGAGGCATGGCCGAGGCTATTTAACGTCCTACCAAAGGATCTAAGAGAGGGTGAGTTCAGTCAGTTCAGCCCAGATACCTTCATGAGACGACTGGACGTGGTCTCTGGCACAATCCCAGACCGACCTCCCTTGCAACACTATCAGCGGCGAGAAGCAAGCAACAGCATCGTGCATCAGCTGGCCCATATGAGTGCATATGAGCGATAATCAGAAGCAGCGATTCATCGTGGCCTGGGACTGCTATGTCCGAAACAATTACCATGCATGTTTCCAAATATAACGGTAGCTAGAGAGAAATGAGCCTAATGATGGTGCCAATGAATAGACATCTTGCCATGACGGAGGTTTTAGCCTTTCATTCGAAGGAAAGGAAATTTCTCATTAACGAAGCATCATAAATTATAAATTGATCAGCTTAAGGAATCAAATAATTCAATTAGTGCCAGGACGACTAGAGTATCTCTGGTAGTCGTAGCCATTTCTGATCACACGTGGCCAGAATCTCGGCAGAGAAATAAACAACATCCCAATCATAAAAAATTCATTGTCTGGAAGACGGCGTAAGAAATCCTGTAAAATATAGAGCTTTCCTTCCTTGTCCGGAGAAAAAGTTTCTTGACATCAGTTCCAACGTGGGTTGAGTGCACGATGTTTGGCCCGCGCAATCTGCCATCCTGCTCAATTTTTATTATACTTTCCGTACCAATACTTCTTGGAATTCATACTTTTACTTCCCATGAGAGACGGGAAGAAAAATATGACAAGAAAAATTCTACAGCTCCCCCAAAAGTGAAAAATGTAACAGTAGAAAAACAAGGAATTTGTAAAGAAATGTTCAAAATAATGAAGGTTAATAAAAATGCAAAAGAACTGGGTAAAATAGAAGAGATCATTCAAGAAGTAATTCACAACGCCGACCAAGCTAATGGATGGACGATACAACCTTACAGAAAGTTGTCCAAAACCCTCCCCACAATGATCAAGAAAGTTTATCCAAGTTTCAGTACGAGCGACTTGATACGTAAGTTTCAACAGAACGTCAGTGAAGCCACCACTAACACCAAAGGCTGGTTGAAACAAGTGATGGAAGGTGAAAATATAGCATTCCTAGAAGATTCTTTAACGTCCATCAAGCTCGCCATGCTTCACCAACAACGAGCATATTCCTACAAGTTGAAGTCGAGCGGCAATCGTGTGGAGCAGTTACACGGCCAGCTGCCGTATGTGCCGTGTCGCATCAAGACGCAGTTCAGCGAAGAGGAGCTGAAGCAGTGCTTCCGAAGGGCGGCGGAGGGGCGCGACACTCCCTACACCATCGTCTTCATGGGCGACTCCAAGAGCAGGAGACTTTACGATAGCTTCGTCATTCAAACCAAGCAGTTGAATTACACCATAACAACACGTGTGCGTGAGTAGCGATAAGTAAAAACTGTTTTATGATCAAGTTATGGCTGTATTTTCAAATGAAGAAGCGTTTTATCTTACATCCACCTCAGATTATAAAAACTAACTCGTAAGGACATATTGAACTTAATACAATTGGAAGTGAGAGGACGAAAATATGTTTGTGACAGGATACTACAAAATCCCAACGCAATCTTAGGCTTTTTTCCATACTGTGTACTTACTTAGCTACGGACTATAATACATCACGATTAAATAACGTGGATCAATATTTTATGGGCGAAAACATAACTCAAGTGCTTCTGAAGAGATAGCCGGAAATCAACGCAGTATTAATTTTTTCTGCTCACTGTCATTATAAATTAAATTTAAATGGGCTCACTGTTTCACATCAAATTGAAGATCTAAACCATGCATGGGCAAATGAAACTTCAGCATGCACGGTTGTCAATTCAATGATGTTCATTTCATCGGGCAGGGCTTGCAAAGAAGCCTCATCGACAGCTTACTGCACTTCGAACAGAGCGGTCCGTGGACGGAAGCTGTCCCGGCTAGCGGACAACCTCACCTTAAAGTGATTCATACGTAAGCACTGCATCATCATAAGCAGATTCAACAGCACAGCAAGTGCTTTATGAGAGGGTCCTGAGAGATTAATAGAAAAAATTGTTTGGTTGCATTGAACTCTTTAATTTCATCAAGACATCAAAGATGGCAAGTACAAAAGACTTCTTCATAAGTCGAAATTCTGCCCGGCTCATTGGAACATATTTTCAAATGCAGTTCAATAGATCCTTGAGAAGAAATCCTCTTACCCAAAGTATTCATTGATTTAATCTGAATCCCTAAATTACTGCAAATAAAGCATCTGCCGCGCAGGTATAACAAGTTCATGGACAGAGTAGGGGTGGAATTGGCCAACAACGAAGCGTTGCTTAAGCTGGCGTCGTGGGTCAATGGAGAACAACCTGCACCCGACCTCCTCGTCCTCAGTGAGTTGCTATTGATTCTCATCAATTGGACTCTAATGGATATTTGAAAAAACAAAACGATATAATAGTGACTGAATGGGCATACCAAAGTCCAATTCATAATGGTAGTTTTAAAAAAGGGTCAGTTTTTTTGATGCGCTCAAAATTGATGTGTGAAATACAAAACATGATTAAGCAAGATTTCTTTGGGCAGATTTTGGAGATTGGATATTTTATTCCCTGTACCAGTTAAAAAAGACTCCTACAACAGTACTGGATGCTATGGATTCTTGCTGGATGATTCAAGAAATACTACTGGAGCTCTTGCAGCGATTAAGTCGTACAACCAAAGTACTTCTGGTCGCCAATTACAAACATCTGCAGCACGTTAATCCGATCAAGATGTATAAAATTCTTTACAAATCTATAAATGCTGCCAAATCAGAGCAGTTCTACAGAGGCCTCCTTTTCTTCTTGAAAAGACTTATTAAGAACATGAATAGCTCATCGGCGTCAAAAAACCAGCATCGACAAACTCGAAACAAAACCAATAATCAAAAGCTGTCAAGAAAAATGTTGGACTATTTTAGTATAAAAAAGCACAATGGTACTTCAGGCAATGGTACAAGGGCTGAATCGGAACCAGATGTACCAGCAGAGAGAGACATTGTTCACTCCACGAAGATATCAAGAGGTCATAATCTTTGGTTCTGGGACTCAACGTTACCACTAACTCAAGCGACGGTTCAAGAATGTGACACACTTTACCATCATGACCCGGTTACTGTAGGTTTGTTGTCCAGCCTGCTTACCCTGAACCCATTCAACGGCGCTAGGTACATAGTCGGAATCCTCACCAAGTTGGGAATCGACTCAAAAGATATCATCCATAATTTAGGAAAGAATTTTGAAGGGCTCGATTATTTCAAAGAAAAACTTGAGGCTTCAGAGAAGCCGGACAAGTTCTCAGGCTTACTTAAGACGTCTTTGTACAAAACATTAGCAAATATTTCCGACGTTGACAAATATTTTGAGGACTTTGCGACGACATACACAATGCCTGACTTGAACTGCATGGATTACAGTCACCCGAGCCAAGCAACCGAAGAAGTGCAGGTCAGTCAAATTCTGAACCTGGTGTGCAATAAACACCTGCTAGTGGCAGACGAATATTGCTGTAGCCAGTGAGCGCCATATGCGCACGAATGTTGCCGGGACTCAAGAAATGTTTCATGTCAATATATTTGCCTTTGAAATGCATAATTATCAGAAGATTAATTGATGTGCATCTTCTTTTGCTGAGGAATACTTGACGTGCACAAAGCAAGCTGAAGCGCACAACTCATTGACATGTTAACAACTGTTCATAAAATGTATTGTCATAAAAATATCTCAGACCTGAGTACCTGGTAAAAAATTATTTCAATGAAACCAAATAAATGCATACATCCGTCCACTTGGATGCCTCTTTATCTATCCAGGCTGATTAAATTTCGAAAACAAAAGTTTTCTTTTGACTAAACACGTTCATTATTGAAGACCAATACAATTGTGATTCGGTTATTTGATCAAGTTATTATATAAATTAAGCGAATAAAGACTTTAAAAGAAAACCACTAATTCTTACATTGTTTCCAAGCTATCATTTAGCGGAGTCATTCTAAGAATTGAACGTCATTCCAGTTTACTAAAGGGGCAGAAATGCAACTTCTTCCGTAGCAGTGTTGACACACAATAAAATACCGGTAGTTCACGCACAAGTTTTTTTTTGCGTAGCACCTATCCTCCGAGCTTAAGAATTTTCACGTAAATAATGCGATGACTATAGGTTCAGGTTAGTGTCGTAAACGAGCGTAGAATTAAATTAAATGTGAATAATTCTTATTGTATCTTTAGCGACATAGCGAACGAAACGCGAGTTGACTAACCACAGGTTGATTTATTATCAACCCTATTTAATATACTTAACACTAACCTTTATTGACAGGTTAGTCAACATATTTAAAAGATATGTTGACTAACCACAGGAAATCGCTAGCGCGGCTACCGCGTGGCAAGCAATAATACGAAAAATACATGTTCTGTAACCAACGTATTAAATTTTACCAAAAAGTAGTTTTTTAATTGATTGAAAAGTAAATTCCATAATCTATTCCGTACATAAAAAAAACGAGATCACTGGACATGATCAGAGACATCATGCGGACACATTTCTGCATCATGCCGTTATTTGAACTTTATTCCAGACCTGGGGCCATACTTTCAGAAAAAAGTTAAGAGATCGGAAGTTCATCAGCCAATCACTGACGGTCTTTCAAGCAAAATCCACCAATCATAGACAAGAAAATAGAGCGTAAGTACTTACGTTCACATAGCGAGCTTTGAAAGTATCCACCAATCATAGACAAGAAAATAGAGCGTAAGTACTTACGTTCACTTAGCGAGTTTTGAAAGTATGGCCCCTGACGGTGACGCCAATGGAGCTCATTTTGCCCGCAAATGCGCGGCTGTGGAGCGAAACTCAAAGTTCTGAGAGTTCGATGAACCTAGCGATGTGATGGGCATCCAGCAGCCCCATGGCGTGGCATCACGAAGATCCTTACGTCCTACAATTCGAGGTTGTCAATGCGGCACCAGGCATTTACAACTGGCATATGCGGGGGTTGCAGGCGATTAAAAATATTTGCGGGATGATGGGTGAGCGGGATCATAGCTGATATGCATGATAAATAGTATGCAAAATGACACATTGTAATAGTTTCGGTATATATCATATGCAGCAGACATGAAATGCTGTGTCAGCGTGTGCTGCGGGCCATTTCTCAACACAATTATTGCGGCATTGCGATAACAAGGCAAATAACTAACAAGCAGATATCTTTCAAGTTTATAACTTACAAGAGAATACCCAAAATGAAAATACCTATTGAGGAAATACACAAAACTAACTGACATGCAAACAACTAGCAAGCAAGTTCAACTCCAAGCGCTGTTTGTAATCCTTCCTGTATTTTTACAGCTTCTCTAAAATTGGATAACAAATATAGTTATTAGGCATTACCAACCCGCCAGACAGCAGGATCCAAAGCTACCTTAACGCCGTCCAATTACATCCATGCATGGTATCTATAATTACCATGCAGAACGAGTCATGATACTTACTACCATAACTACCACTTAATACCATCCAAAGTACTTCCCGATCATGCATCCAAGGTACGTCACTAACGCGCTCATGAGACTGGGACAAAGTCAACATTGCTTCAACCATAAAAAAAATTCGGGAAGCCAAGATGGCTGGACCAGGAAACTTTTCTTCTCGGTAAAATCGAGGAAACTAACGCGCTTAACTTTATGCAATTTTTTCGTAATAAAAAGTGGAGAGTTTTTACATCTTGGGAAGTGTAAGCCACCATGTGTGTCGTCAGCACCACGACCATATGAACCCGACACAGAAACGCGTTCCTTCTCAGGTTGAACAGGTTCATGCGATGAGTTTCATATAAAGGCTTTGTGTTTACGCAAGGAGTCAAGTAGGTGTGTTTAACTAAGGTTTTCGACAAATTGATATTTCCTGCATGTGACAATAGATCAACTGTCACCTTAGTTCAAATCCATGAAAGAAGGCACCGCATGAATTGTTTTACGCTCAAAAAAGAAGACTAAAAAGCGGGCTCAAAGCAGACGATACGTTCTTTCCTTGTACAAACTTTGGAAGTGAGAATGAGGTGGTCCTCTGAGATGGGCTTTGTTCAGGCATTCAGCGTGCTGTCGGTACGAACAGTTTTATTTATGACGTTCATAAGCGTGTACTGCCTATCTATGCTGACACTTTATAATAATACTGGACAATCGTTCGATTCTGCAAATCCAATACTCCAGCAGGAAGTGAATGAACATCGTGCAATGAAGTGTTACGACTTATTTACAGTGCAAACAGCATTTGAGTTTAGTAATTACGCTCCAATCGTCCGAAAAAATATGGAAGTTTTGAAGAACACGTGGAAGAACTGGACGATAAAACCATACAAAGAACTCCAGAACACCTTACCATCTCTGATAGAAAAGGTAAAGCCAAATTTTGATGCAGACATTTTGTTACGAAAGTTTTACAAAAATATCACGGAGGCCAGTTCCTTGATGAGCATTGCACTAAAGCGAATCAAATATGGTGGTTACGTTAGAATGTTAGATGCGGGAATCGAGTCCATAAAGCTCGCCATGCTTCACCAACAACGAGAATATTCCTACAAGTTGAAGTCGAGGGGTAATCGTGTGGAGCAGTTACACGGCCAGCTGCCGTATGTGCCGTGTCGCATCAAGACGCAGTTCAGCGAAGGGGAGCTGAAGCAGTGCTTCCGAAGGGCGGCGGAGGGGCGCGACACTCCCTACACCATCGTCTTCATGGGCGACTCCAAGAGCAGGAGACTTTACGATAGCTTCGTCACACAAACGAAGGAACTGAACTACACAATAAGTACAAAGGTAAGTTATTGCCAAGATATTTAATTGTACGAAGACAACTTTTCAAAACGAATTGACTTATGAAGAGGCAAATAAATAAAATTCCGTCTCAGGGCCACACGAAATCAACAAGATTTTTTAAATCTTTCCAGTGAAATTCATGTGGCACCAGGAAAGACATTAAATAATGATCGATTATTAATTCGTGAATAGTGAGTGCATGGTTTTAGGCTTGAGTTCGCGTTGACGCGCTCCATTCAAATTTCGACAGGCATACACTCCTCTAACTGAAGCAACTTTCTTTGTCACTTTGCCTAAGGGAGTCAGAAGAACGTTCGTCGAGGGTCTGCTGCACTTCGATCCTGAGGCACCGTACGAGGAAGCTGTTCCCAACGATCTACCGCAGATCAAAGTCGTGAATATGTGAGTGTTCTCAACTACAAGTGGCTCCTAGATTTGGTAGCTCTCGAGACGATTTTTAGAAATACTTCACAGATATAGCCTCAAGAGGGCGAGATCAACAACCATTCAAACGGAATCCAACCATTCAACTGACGGTAACTCGAGACAATAGAAGTTTAGATACGAATATAATTGACGACGATAAATGTATCTGAACACATATTGTTGAAACAACGCAATCATAAACGTGGGAACAAAACCCTCCGACGAGGGGTTCAGAGCATGATGCTGAGTCCATTTGGAGTTTTAGATTTAAATTCAATTTCGATCTATCGTTGTATGGGAACGTTTCCATAGCTATTAGTAGTTATCTGACAATAAGCTTCTTCTTTGTGCAGATACAGCCGCTTCGATGACCGAAAACTGAAAGAATTTGCCTACAATAAAGCCTTGAAGAAAATCGTGTCATGGACGAAAGGAGACGAACCGCCGCCAGATGTCCTTACCCTCAGTGAGAGCGTCAAGTAGTGATTGTTACAAATTAGTTCTTCATGAGTTTCAAGTAGCAAATTTTGGCCCATCACTTATAATAAAATAATAATGGCGGTTTCAGCGTTTATTAGGCCATAGGCCATAGGCATGTCGCCTATTGGAAAAGGCCTGTCGCCTTTTCGTGTACTTACCTTAGATCAAGTCAGAGAATTAATAATTGTATATATTATATATGTTATTATAATATAACAAATTTAACCTTGAGCAGGTTATGGGGACTGGATCTTCTTCATCGTGGACCGCCACATCAGGGAAGGCATGACATTACTCGACGCCCTGGACTTTAGCTGGACGATCAACGAACTTTTGCTGCGCCTACTGAAGCGGCTGAGCCGCACCACACGTATACTGGTGCTGGCCCAGTACAGGCACCAGCCTCACGCTTCTAACATTCTCAGCACAATTAGAACGCAGACATCTATAGACGGAGTCAAATCTGAGTTGTTCTACAGGCAACTGATGCATCTTTGGGAGAATATTATTGGGCCATTGAACCGATCAGGAGTTTCTGAGAAACGTCCAGCAGCGATGAGAAAGAAACATCAACCTCAGGTCAAAGCCGTGAAAATTCTGCATTGTTCAGAATCTGCGACAGGTCTGACGTTCTAATATTAAAAGTTGACAAACCGTCAATGTCTCTACGATGACTCGGGCAATTTTGGATGTTCTGTACAGTGACAATGGAATGAACCCGAAGAACAAGAGTCAGCATTTCTTCCTTACCTACCTTACTAAGGCGAAGAGAGAAATCAAAAGACATTTTTATGATACTTCCAAACATAGATATCCAGAAATATATGATGGACTTGATGATGAAGAGCAACAAGAAGGCCCATGGTTCTGGGACACAAGCTTGCCTTTAGCTCAAGCGACGGAGGACGAGTGCGAGGAACTATACCGACACGACCCAACGACCGCAGGTCTCTTGCCTAAACTGGAGACGGTGGCGCGGACAGGGAACGTCAGGTTCATGGTGGATCTTCTTACCCAGATGGGGGTTGACCCGCAGAAAATAATAGATCATATGAAGGATCCCCAAACAGCCAGTGTCAAAATAGCGTCCGAAAGCAAATACAAAAAATATTTTGCCATCTTTCGACCATCCGTTTACAATTCCACATTTTTACCTCCCGAAGCTAATCAATATTTTATAAATTTTGTTACGGCGTACGCGACGAGCCAATTGAATTGCATGGACTTTAATCATAAAGACCATGCTACAATGCAAGTAGAAGTAAGTCAGGTACTGAACTTGGTGTGTAATAAATATATTAGTCTGCCACATGAATATTGCTGTGTATAATAAAATTAGTCTTATCTACTGAATTTGTCTTAACATTTGCAACCTTCAATACAAACGTCACTTGATAAACGATATTAAATAATCACAAAAATACACAGATTTTCCACATAAACAAAACAAAAAAATTTGCAGGAGAATCCTAAATTATGCATTATGCATAAACTAATGCAAGTTTGCAAGTTAAATTTAGAAGGCAACGTGTGGCAGTCGTTGACAGTAGAGATAGACTGCGCGCTTAGCCAGGCCAAGTATCCATCTAGTAAACAACCTATATTTTGGCATCGCCGACCAGCCATTGTTCCTCACCACAGGCGATACCAAGCATTCATCTAGTAAACAACCTATATTTCGGCATCGCCGACCAGCCATTGTTCCTCACCAAAGGCGATACCAAGCATTCATCTAGTAAACAACCTATATTTCGGCATCGCCGACCAGCTATTGTTCCTCCACAAACTTGGTTTTGTGTTCATGGTGAGCTGACCAGCTGAGCTGCATTCATGGTGAGCTGAACTATTAGGTCGAATATAATCAGCAGCAAGAATCAGTGCTTGTATTTAACATGAGACTGCGTTACTGTTAATGAATTGTTAATACAACATTCTTCAGAATTTACGAGTATAGAGATTTGTTGATGTTATTGGCTCTAATGTAACGGTTGATGTTAAGTCTAAACCAGCCTCGAGAGTGTGCTGGGATCATAGCCCAAGCAATCATTGAGTAGTATCTTACGAACGAGTTGAACTGATAGATAAAGGACTAATTTAATTAATGATCTTATTCCAATCAATGCAGTGTATTAGCCACTTTTGCTTGTTTAAATACTTTCTTGCAATTCTGCGTTTGTGTTTTGGAAAAATGCCTTGCATAATTAGAACATACCCGATTAATACTTCAAAACCATCACTTCATAAATTACATTAAGACATGAAACAAATAATTATGGCGAAGAATAAAATGCAATGAACGCACCTGGCCGCTTAGCTTGACGTTGTGCAGGCGACTCCAGTCGTCGTCGTTGTGGTCCACCAACATAGGCACCTCCTCCCCTGGCAGGGGGGGAGGGGGCGAGTGAGGGGAGAGGATTACTGGCCCAGCTGATGGGGGTGGCAGGGGCCCTGTAAATCTGGCATCCAATAATATATTCAGTTATAGTCTATAAATCATTTTTATTTGCATATAGATCAGAGAATGCATATTTTGTCTTTCATTTTTCAATAGTTTGAATGATGTTTTTGTTGGTATGGTAAAAGTTTTTGTTTTTATTGGTAAAATTAGGCTTCCAAAACGCATTTTTAACACAGCAACATTTGGAGTGTAACAACATTTATTACGAAGATAAAGAAGATTTGAATGAGATTTTGATTGACAAAAGTACATGAAATATATCAATTCCATACTACACAAGAAATTAGAATTAAAAAATTAGTCCAAAAATAATTCCGAAGTCTAAATGATACCAATTAGCAATCCTTTGATAGACTTTGTCTTGATCACTAAAAGAATATGCTAAGCATTATTATACTTCAGATATTCTGATTTTTCTGAGTAAACCCCAACATGTCAATGCCTCAGCATTTTCTTCTAAAATTGATTATCATGTAAAATTCATTACATTACATACTAGAATAATAAATTTATACATACCTTTGCATAAATATATATAAAGGTATTGTTAATAAAAAGTACACTCTAGTCTTCAATCAAACCTGTATAAATGAAGAACTTCTGCCTAACTACACCAATAAAGGTATCTATATACAAATAAGTTAGTCTAGAGAGTGAAAAAAATAAATAAATAGAATAAGCTTGAAACAATAACATGATAAGACTCAAGCAACACTCACCTGACTCGGTCTTGAGGTCCAGCCAAACCCACACACGGGTGCAGACCTCCTTCTGGCTGCACAACTGTCACACACCCGATCTGATATGAGAAGTACATGGATCTAAGAGCCAAATGAAGGTAGAAAATATACTCGGAGTTTAAAATGCTTACTGGTCATGGTTGAAGGATGTTACCTTGAATAAATTTATAAATGATAATAACCATTAAAAATCATGGAAAAGTTATACGATAACCATACAGTATTAAGACACATAACTAATTTTTAGATAAACAGAAGTTACTCAAATAAATAATTCAAAGACAGAATAAAGAACAGAAGTTAATTAAAAGGGAGAAATTATGGATATAATCAAAATGCTCAAATTTGAGGTTTAAAATAATTGCCACTGCACCTCTTTGCCATTACGAGTAAAGTAGACATAATGAGTGTTTTGTGAGAGAGCTTGAGGCAACAGCTGAGAATCGACGTCTACAGGAGGCACAGGACGAATGCCACAACCCATTCTGTCATTCTTGCCACACCGCGGCCCAAACCTGTAGCCCAGAGCATTGCCTCGATACAGCCTGCAGAGCATCAGGACAATCAGTCTTCAATTCCAATACATAATGATTGCAAAGAGTAAAAGTTTATATCACTTGTTTGCTTAAATCGCAAATTAACTAAGAATTTAAAAGCAAAGAAAAGTCCACAAAAATTCATATCTTTATAGAAAACGTTTCGAAGACCAGCTACGAACTGACGATAGAGTACAAGTTAGTTAGAAAACACATTTTACAGCTATCACTACAAAAATATAAGCAAACAATTGAATAAATTACTCTAGTTGAATCATAAGAATTGAATCATTTACAATTGATAATAATTATGAAAAGAAGGAATAGTATGAACTCACATGCCATCATCTCCATGGTATCCAAGGCTATCCTTATCCCAGCCTGGCATCTTGTTTAAAGGATATGTATCATGACAAACTCCTGATGGAAAAAATTACAATATCTTTAAATAGCTTTATTTGTTGTCATAATGAATAGTATTGAATTTGATAATACTTTGATTAGAACTTCTTCTGATCAAAATGATGATAATTATAAAAAATTATATAAACTAAACATATCAAAACTATATATTGCATGCATAACAGGACTAAAAACTCTCAGAATCTTACACAAGGAATAAAATTTAGTAATCAACATATAAGCCAGAACAAATATTTGGAAAAAGCTAGAAATCAAAAGACAATTGAAAACTAGATCAAATTGAAAGCTCACCAATAGAGACTGCACCAAACATGTCTGTGTTAAGGATTGTAAGTTCAAAATAACTGTTTTCAGTGGTTATGGTCTGTTCACTGACAAACACTCCAATTCCTCGACCATTGCCAGTGTACCTGCACAAAATTCAGAATATAAACCAATTTCTCAGCATAATTAACAATAGATTAGAAATATATGCAACTGAAACAAGCTGGCATGGAATATATATCTACATTTCAAGCCACAATTAGCGCTTACCTGTAAGCTCTAGCGGGCCATTTTTGGACTCACAAAATTTCACCTAGATGAAATATATACTTTCTATCTAATTGTTAACATAAGCATACAAGACACAATCAGGCTTTAAGATTTCAAATGTATATAAAATTTGTCACCTTGGAGCTACAAGATCTTATTCATCAGTAGGAAATTTCTAATCTGGAAAGCAAGCAAAGTTCTAGTAAATAATTGGCCTTAATTTCTACTAAATTTCAAGAAATTAAAATAATTTTGAGTTCCAAATATATACATGAATTAGCTGTTTGAAATAAGAAAATTAGGATAAAAATGTAAATTTAATTTAGATCTAGATTCTTATGAAAAATTATTTATATACCTAAAATAATAATAGAGTTATTTATATTAATGAAGTCAGTAAAGTTATTTGCTGTCCATAAAGACTTGTAGGTAGGGTAAACGCGGTATATTCCGACACATTAAGGACGCATCGAGAAATGAAAAACTATAAAAAAACGTATACGTTACGTAAGTTATGTTGCCTTCACATGACTCTCAAAACACTTCACTACGCGTCAGCAACGATGAAACGTCACAAAATGTTGCCATATTTATTAAAAAGCCTTTAGAATGGAAACCTACCAAATCCCTATATTACGCATGGAACTAAAACAAAGCTTAATATAAAGGAAAAGCTGGAGAGGTGACGGAATTACCTACGATGTCTGAATATACCGCGTTTACCCTATATTCAATATCAATCCAACTTGGTATTTACTTCCATTATTTAATTGCCTTCATACAAAAATATCAGCCTAGTTGAGAAGCAAAGTCATTTTGAGGTATCATAAATTACAATTTAATTTAAAATGCAGAACTTTTCATTTGGTATTTTTTTTAATTACACCATGCCTGGCCTGGCAACTTTGAAAGGAAACTCTGCTCAGAATTTTGATAAAAAAAAACTTTAATTCAATAGGCATATCTTTCAAACTCCTTGCAAAATTAGCATTTACATTTTCAAACAATTAAAAGAACTCACTTGATGATATCCCCTTCAACAAGAAGTCTTTCAGCTCGTATGCGCTTGCTTGAGAGAGCAGCATCTCCAATATCCTCAGCCCACAGACTACGTTGCATTTCCATGGTGTAAAATTTCCTGCAGGCGCCAGTCAACTCATCGAAAATTCTAAATTACCCTGTTCGGGCCACTGGGCACTGTTCGGCGGTGCAACTAACTCACAAAGAAATGATAAAATAATACGTCTTCAAATGTGATAACATTATTTGTATTTACAAAATACGTCATCCATGTTTTCAAGCTAAAATTCGTTGAGCAATTTTGAATCAATGTACCACAATACTAGACAGAATACAATGATGTACCAGGCGCAGGCCCTAGAATTGCGAATTCCGGTCCATTCGTACCCGACACTCGTCACTCGACAGCGCTTGTTTTGGTGATGTCCTACAGTACGATGCAACAAAGTGATCAGATCAGACCAAGTCTGTAAGACATGCTGTCCGCATGTACGGAAGAATCGTTCTTTATTTTGAAATAGAATAGAAGTGTCGGCCCCGAAGAATAGGCCCATGGCCTGTTGCCGAAAGTACTTATATCATTAGTCTGCTTAAATCGCAAGTTCACAAGGAATTTAAAAGCAAAGAAAACGCCAAGAAAATTCACCATATCGATATTGAAAACGTTTCGGAGTCCAGCTCCATCATCAGTTCGACTAAACTAAAAATGAATAAAATCACTTTAAAAGTCAAAATTCAAAGACAGACATAAAACCTAAACAAGACCTAACATTATATCGAAATAAACAGGACTAGTTATGAACAACTTAGTCCTAGGGGTACGACAAGAATATAAAATCCTAGCGATTTACTATTTCCAGATTATATGAGCTAAACGCATTATTGAGACATGGTTTTCGTTTGAAGATATGTAGAGACTCCAAAATTCTCAAATCCGAGCAGCCAGAAGTGGAACCGAGTATCCTGAAATCACTCTCAGATACAGCCACGTCGCACTGTTCAGCATCTGTCTCTTATACACATCTAGATGTGTATAAGAGACAGGTTTATAACTGTTATAAATAAGTTCCGTAGTGATTATATAATGGTTCTATAAGTCTCTTATACACATCTTCCATGCTGAACAGTGCGACGTGGCTGTATCTGAGAGTGATTTCAGGATACTCGGTTCCACTTCTGGCTGCTCGGATTTGAGAATTTTGGAGTCTCTACATATCTTCAAACGAAAACCATGTCTCAATAATGCGTTTAGCTCATATAATCTGGAAATAGTAAATCGCTAGGATTTTATATTCTTGTCGTACCCCTAGGACTAAGTTGTTCATAACTAGTCCTGTTTATTTCGATATAATGTTAGGTCTTGTTTAGGTTTTATGTCTGTCTTTGAATTTTGACTTTTAAAGTGATTTTATTCATTTTTAGTTTAGTCGAACTGATGATGGAGCTGGACTCCGAAACGTTTTCAATATCGATATGGTGAATTTTCTTGGCGTTTTCTTTGCTTTTAAATTCCTTCTGTTGCCGAAATGAACGCATTCATTAAGGTTAACAATTAGAATAGACATGGTTGACGATTGTTTGAGATAGCTGCTGGACTTATTGTCAGGTCCGTAAGGTGCTCGGTATTTCACGACTGAACATATGTTCCTGCATAGCTTTGTCTAGGCTGTTCTTGACGTTCATACATGGAGCGTCAACGATGTCATCAGGGAGTCTGTTCCACATGTCGGTGACTCGATGCGAGAAGAAATGTTGTTGCATGGATGCGTTTCAACGCAGCATTTTTAGCTTTTAGTCGTGGCCCTTGGTAATAGTTCTTGTTTCAAATTCTAGCAATCCTTCTGGGACCTTGGATAAACCGTGGGTATACTTGTACTGTATACTTCAATGAGGACAGAGGACACAACGCAGACGTCGATAACAAAGGCTTGGAAGGTTCAAAATCATAATCTTTCTTCATATAACTGTGCCCTTTTAAACAGGATTAAACAGTGCCCTTTTAATCCCGGAATTATCCTTGTTGCCCGTCTTTGAACACTCTCGACTAAATTTTCGTTCTTTTTCTAATTATGGTGACCACATGGCTTTTCCGAATTCTAGTTTCGGACGCACGACAGCGACAAACAACTGCTTCACCACTTCTGCATCTATAAGTACTCGCAAGAGCGTCTGATCCATGGTTGAATTAATATATTAATTCAACCATGGTCTGATCAGTCCAAGTCGTTTATTGTCTTTATTAACTTGAGCTTCAATATTCTTCGAAAATTTCGACTCATTGTCGACATAGCTCCTAAATCTTTTTCCATTATCAACTTCGACATCATCAGTCTTGAAATGCCTAGTTACATACGGAACAACAAAGTCTAGAAACTATTTCAAACCTACCGTCCTATCAAAAGGCCAGTTTTTTAGATCTGTGAACTAGTTAAGAAAAGTAAAAGAATCGGCGGTAAAACTTTAGATTAAGTGCATCCAAAAAAGGGTGTTTTTTTATAATATATTTTTTGGAGTGTACATTAGGAATCTGAAATCCGCTTTTGGCGGTCGGCATCAGAAAACCAATGCCCTCCCCCCCGTGGTTGCCTGCAATGTCGTGGTTGCAAGAGTATATGAGTCACCGAATCCAAGTTAAAAACGCTATAAATCCACGGATATTGGGGCCGAGATTTAACTTGCATTTCATCTTAAAAATTATATAAAAATCGGTTTTCCGATGCCGACCGCCAAAAACGGATTTCAGATTCTTTATCTACACCCCAAAAAACATATAATTAAACAAAAAACACCCTTTTTTGGATGCTCTTAATCTAAAGTAAAACCGAATCGGCGACAGGCACAGGCCTATTCTCCAACGCCGAATATACTATACTATACAACTATCACTCTCACGTTGCAACCATGTCTTCTCATACTGTAATCTTGCTGTTCATTGTTTTTGCCAATGTGGATTACTTTACACTTAAATGCATTAAAATTCAGCTGCCACGTATCAGCCCCGTCAACTAACCTGTCAAGATGTGGAACGCTGTTCACAGGTTACACACACCTGTATACCGCTCATGTGGGACACTGTCAAATGCCTTGGCAAAATCGAGGTACAATGCATCTACTGGCTCCCTTTCGTCCAGCAGGCAAGGCCAGTTGTTCAACGTAGACAGGAGGTTAGTGGTGCAGGATCTACCGGCAATAACGCCATGTTGTCAGTCTGATAGGAGATTATTAACAGTCAAATGATCAATCAATCGATCACTGACAACAAATTCCATCACCTTGCAAACTACATTGTCACACTGACAGGGCGATAGTTGCCCGGGCAGCTTTTGTCACCTTTTTTGGAACAATGGTGTCACAAGAACTTTTTTCTAGTCAGCCGGCAAGATCCCTTCGTTCAAAGTTTTTCGAAAAAAATGACGTCAAATGGCCGGCTAGGACGATTGCTAATTCTTTTTCTTTGAGTAATCTGGGATGGAAGCCGTCTGGTCCATATGACTTTCTGGGATTTAGAGCAACCAGGCGCTTGAGAACCTCTTCTTTGTGTATTTCAATACTTGTACTTGTTAATTTAGAGCCGACTGGGCGCTCCTCAATATCTGGAATACTATTCAATTCCTCGTCTGTGAATACGCTGCTAAAAACTGATTAAGAACGTTAGCCTTGATCTCATTAGTGGATATCTTTCGTTGTTCTACTTTCAAATCCGAAATACCGTCCTTTGTCCTACAGTTCGAGATGGCATATAAAAAGAAGGCTTTCTGGTTCTATTTTGCATTTCTGGCAATATTTTTTTCGAAGATTTTTACTGCGGTGCGACAGCTTTATTTAGTTTGATTTCGAGCTCCTGAATTAGAACTATATCAAATTATATAATTATTTACAAGAAGTTTATTATTTTGCATGTATATTTATCTCCTCTCCACAAAATTGAACTATGTTTTAAATCATTTTCAAATGGCGTTTACAAACGCTATATCCCTTCAGCGCCTGAATTTCTCACAAGTGCAAAAAAAATTTAATGCAAGTTAATGTGGGACATTTTCTCATGATATTGAAGATTTATTCTCTATTTTTTAAAGTTATTCATTGTAAAAAATTTGAAAGACGACATATATGCCCGTATTTTGGGAGCGCTAACTAAAACTATGTATATGCGACATACGTGAACAATTGTACGAATGAGCTTCATACATGAAAAAATACGTTAGATACCCAATGAAAGAAGCTTGTAGTATGCAGTGTAGTAAACACGTAAATGAAAATAATCTGTTCAAGTGCTACACTGATTATATCGTTTATCTTATCTGAAACATATTATTCTACCTCATTCGATAAAGTTGTACGAGCCCATAGTCGTTATCATGTCATGAATAAGTGTCTTACATCCTTCTGGTCGAAAAGTTGCTTCAGGAAGCTCATTTGTTGCTTGTCCCACCTTTTTTTAGTTTTCATACATTCTAATTGGATATTTCTTAAGAGAAACGACCATGCGTTTTTGCAATATCCATGTATATGCTAACAACGCAACATGGTTTCTGTTTCACTGCGTGTAGTTAGCTGGGGCCATACTTTCAAAAAAAAGTAAAGAGATCGTAAGTTCATTATCCAATCTTTGACGGCCTTCCAAGCAAAATCCACCAATCATAGACAAGAAAATGGAGCGTAAATACTTAGGTTAACTTAGCGAATTTTGAAAGTATGGCCCCTGGTGGTGAGGCAGTTTCTGAGTGGCTTCCGCTCTCCGCAGTAAACAACTTTTCACATTAATGGCATGATAATCATATCTTTGCCCGAAGTGTAGGACTGCTACGTTTGTAGTGACATGCAATGTAGGACTGATATGCGCACCGAGGCATGCAGTGTAGCCTGTGTAGGACTGCGTGCCCCATGCATGTCGAGTAGGACTGGGTGCGCGCCTCGCCATGCAGTTTATAGGACTGTCGGGCACGACCTTCCCTGCAGTGTAGGATTGCTACGCACGACCTTCCCTGCTGTGTGAGACGGTTGGGCACGACCTTCCCTGCAGTGTAGGACTGTTGAGCACAACCTTCCCTGCAGTGTAGGACTGTTGCGAGCGACCTTCCCTGCAGTGTAGGACTGTTGCGAGCGACCTTCCCTGCAGTGTAGGACTGTTAGGTGCGACCTTCCCTGCAGTGTAGGACTGTTAGACAGACCTTCCCTGCAGTGTAGGACTGCTGGGTGCGCGCCTCGCCATGCAGTGTAGGACTGCTGCGCACGACCTCCCCTGCAGTGTAGGACAGTTAATAGACACGACCTTCCCTGCAGTGTAGGACTGTTAGACACGACCTTCCCTGCAGTGTAGGACTGCTGGGTGCGCGCCTCGCCATGCAGTGTAGGACTGCTGCGCACGACCTCCCCTGCAGTGTAGGACAGTTAATAGACACGGCCTTCCCTTCAGTGTAGGACTGTTGGGTGCGACCTTCCCTGCAG